GTTCAATAACCCACCTGTGTCCGTTCGTTAAAAGAATCATATCGCTAACTGGTGTGGCTGGCCCTTCAAATGCACCTCTTGTCTTTCACAGAGTCAGAGACAGGCCTTCCTACCCGTGGCCTTAGTTTACTTCTCTTTCGCAGAAACACTCAGCGATGTAGGCCTAAATCTGGACGACCTAAATACAATGCACGCACTCAGCCGTTTCCGTCGTGCGCCTTTCGCGTATAAATTGTGATGGCTCAAAAGTTGGCGATGCCTTTCGCTTTCGTTAGCTTTTACGATGCCGATGTCGGTATTGGAAAGGCCGTGGCTAGTCATTCGCACTAGCCTAGCTGATAAAGTGTGCTCCCTTGCCCAGTCCCGTTCTAGCCAGTTACACGGTATTGTTTTATTTTTGCCTACTGCTCACCGTCGCTCACTAAAGGCTCACGTATAAACTTGGAGCTCGACATGCTTTCTAAACCAGTCGCTGTCGACAGCTAATAGACTAGGAAATTGCCCACTCACAACTTTCCATTGAGATCTGCTTTTAAAAGCAGAAAAGTGCGAAACCTTGTTATTTTATCGAGTTTTAGCCCCACGGGCAACCCCAATTCGAAGCAAAATTTCACTTGGCGATCCCGAGCCCACAACTCGCGCAATAATGATCGAGCTTGCACGCGCTTCAACGATGGAGATATATCGCGTATTTTCTATACAGGGCATAATCACTATATATGTACACTATTTAAATATACATTTCGTGCACCCTTGTATGAGTAAGCGCTGGTCGCTTTCACTGCCTAGTTCGCTGAAACTGACTTTATATCTGATCCGTCTTCAATAGACGTTTCTGATACTTCGTAGGTAAGTGGCCATCTCATGCCGATCATCTCTGCGTTATTATTCACTGGTCTATTTAGCTGAGAGCCATCAAGCTTAAAAACGAATGATTGATTAAGACAGCCTCAAGCATGCCAGCTAGGTAGCTTCTAGTACCCGTGTTGGATTTTATATACAATGTGTTTGATTTGTGCGATTTCTTTAAGCTAGACGACCATTATATCTGCTTATATATCCCTATTTGGCCTTCTATTCGCCCTATCGTAGTGCGATCCTTACTTCATTATGATCCCAGCAGAGCGTGTTTCCCGCTCAAGCTTTTAGCTCAACACGGATTCCCGAAGGCCCTGCAGAAATCCTGTATTCAAATAGGCATCCAACTTCGACTCGAAAGCGGAGAATTCTAGGAGATAACAGATCTTTCACTGTTTAGAAACTCACACAAAAGAACACAAACGCAGGGAGTTTAGTTTTCATGTTGTTCAGTCCCAGCCTCCCGCTGAAGGGGTTTAGGGAGGTGTTAGTGAGCTGAAAGGCTTGTCCTTCTCAACTATAGGTTAACAACAACAGCAGCAACAACAAACAGAATTATGCCGCAGAACATTGCGAACTCGGCGGGGGAGTTAAGGCCCCTAGCGAATCCCTTCTACCATGAATAGCAACGAAAAACGAAGGCTCGGTAAATTATTTACGAAGATAAACAAATTGGACAGTGTGTCTATGTGGACGTGAAGGTTTGTAAGTGCGGTCCTTCCGACGATGAAAGGGAATCACTGACATGGCCATTGTAGATCGTTTCTTTGATGATAAACACAGCCCGCGTACCAACTTGGTTCTGTTCGCGCAGCCGCTGCTTACCTCTCTCGATTGAGTCGGTACGGATTGGGTTTTTCTGAAGAAAAGTATACTCTTGTTAAATCTGATCATGAATGCGGACTGTGTATCGCGTTTATCGGAACGGTTTTTTCCATTGCACAACTAGCTTTTTTCTTAACTTTACGGTACGTACGCTTTGTTTCGAAAGTGGTTCATCCAAAATCTTCGAGCCGAATAGATTCATTTTCTTATACTACTGGTACTACTACGATATGAAATAAAAGGAACATAAAGGAGTCACAAGTGTGTTTTCATTCGGATCACTTCTGGAGTTGTAGACGACATTAGCTCATAGAAAAATGCCTTTTCTAACATAATTACGTCTACAATAGCAAGGAACGCTTTCTAAAGAAAAACAACTTAATTTCGTTATAAAAACAGCTTGACCCGCACGTATTTTCATCCTTGTATATTACGGCTTTTTGTGGTTGCCCGTATCATCAGTGGTTGCTGGATCGGTTTGGAAAATGGGCTCGAGCGCGGAGGATGCTGATGACTGGTGAGTTGGGTATGTACCAGCTCAATGACCCCGGCTTGCGAGAAGAAAAAGTACTCTTGGCTGTTGTGTTCGACAAATAACCGTCCTTCCATTGACGCTCCCGACGCTCCATATCGTCAGTGCTATATACGAATGAGACAAACCAGTTGGCCATCATAGAAAGCGCAGCGCGGCTTATATCCTAGAAGGGGGGAATCGAGAAACAACAAGCATACAGACAAACAACAACGCACACGATTTACCTCGTCGGGGCGGCCTTTCTGCCAATACGCACTATGACGACCTTCTACAGCACATAAGGATGAATTGGATTTTTCAATTTTAGAACGAGAAAATTCATCATGGCACTGCCGCGCGCGTTTTACCATCACCTACGACTAGACTACGAACATCGTCCGCTAGATTATTTGCTCTTGGAAAACCGGTTTTGAGAGAAACTCCATTCGAGCAGGTCGTTTCAAGTCGAAAGCGTCTCCAACCACCATTGTAAGATCTCGTCGTAAGAGCGAATCGGGTTGTTTTCTATGCGTTTAGTTTCTAAAAATTTAGTTGTTTTCTAAACAACTAAATTTTTCATATTTTGTGTTTATCACAATGGGTGGACAGATCTCAACTGAGTCGTGACGTATAAGTCGAAGTTAGGGTAAACACTATTCGTATGAACTTCGTACGCCGGCGAAGTGTCACTTCTATTGTTATAATTGGTGTCCACTTGTAATTTATCTCGTTAATATGTTTTTTTTGGCATTTTGTCTTGTTATGTATTCAGGGTATGGAAAGTAATCTGACAACTGGAGCTTCAGCATCGATTTACGTATTTCTAGTGGTGCAGTGTTTGACACTGCATGATGCTCTACGAAGTAAAGCTCGGCTGAAGCCTCAGTTGGCTACCAAGCCGACTGTGTCTCAAATGGGACACACGGTTTCTCATAGCAGGACTAGTCATTTACCCCTTCCATGTAACCTCGCGAGTCGACCCCTTATATCCCGTGCCTTCGTCAATAAAACCGGTTTCTTCAAAAATCGCCCCACAAACAGGCGAGAGATCGCGGTGCTTCACCATAGAGCCAAATACAGGGCATCGGACCACTATTAGAACCTTTCGTGTTTTAACACAGTACGGCTACATGTTATGTTTCGAATATGATCTACGTCTAGTTATCATTCATTCTGACGAGTGGACGGGTTTCACCATTGCGATTATAGTTAGGGTTTCCATAGGAGGCGACTTGCAAAGCGTGAGTATAATTGAAAGCTGAGTAAATTGGGGTTAAATAGAAATATTGAGACATGAAAATAGATTAGAGAAAGCACTGAGTAAAAATGTCTCACTATGCCCACCTTCACATGACCCGCACTTAAGCAGGACTGAATAAATGATACATTACAAGAGTCAACGCTTCAACTTAGGCAATGCTATTCATGCGATCTTTATTGGGAGTAAAAAATAATTGTTTGAATGACCCATCGAAAAATCAACTATAGCAGCTTGCTTCATAATAGAAACGAAAATTTTTTAAACAAAAACGTTAGCCTATTGAATAGTGTACAGGGAAAAGCATTATATGTAGATGTATAATCTGTGTGAAAAACAAGTATACATCTGACTCTTCCCCTGAGTTGTTTTGAGGATTTCGTGTAAAAAAAAAAATGAAAGTACTTCAGCGAAGTATTTTACAGTAAAGTGTCATTCACAGAGGTCATATTTATTTAATGTAATTACTATACGCCGCAATTATATATCTAATTTGGCGTCGAAACAATCAGTTAGTAATTTTCGAAAAAAAAAAATGTTGTTAATCGGGAAATTAATATTTAATAGTAATCACGCGTCAAACGATATTAACAGGTCATAACAGGAGAAAAAACGACATGCAGAAAAATCCCCCCAGCAGAATTAGGCTGCATGCAAGCCAAAGGTCCCAAGCATGCGGAAGTTCAGCATGGTCAAAAAGAGGCGCTTTAGACAACCCGAATGTCAATCGATATTTTCCTATCTAAAAGGTCAACCAAGTTGGTATTAAAAACCAGGTGTATCTAAAACGGTTTCTAGAGCCCCTTTGGTGAAGCTTGAGCTCTTTAAATTGGAAACCTACGAACGACTTTCTGGTTTCCTTCGTAGAAGTTTTCCAGAGAAAACTAAGAGTAACGTAGACCGTTAGCCTCGGTCAAAAAAGCAAGTTTTTCATTTTATTGGCTCGCCTAACGCGGACAGACTGGATAATTAGTTTATCTTCGCTTAGGTACGGGAAAATTGCGTGCAGTTTTTTTTTTGTCACGATGAGCTTTGCTCTAGAAGAAACTAGCTATTTTACACCTGAAATAGTTCGTTAAGGCCTTTGAATTCGAATGCCATCCCTTGTATGTATACAGGGTGGGCTAAAAGTATATTGACAGTTAAATTCAACTGTGCAACACATTTGTAACAGAGCCATTACAAGGCCTACCTATAATTATAAGACCATGTTTTGATGTCATAAGGTTAATATAAAATGCACTAGGTACAACAAAGACCACTGTGGCTCAAATGGTTTTGTTCAGTAATATCAGTAATATGCAATACTTCGACGTTATTCATGTAACTTATAGATATTCTCATAAAAAAAGCTGAAGAGGAATAGCTGAAAGTATCCACTCGGCAAAAGTCTCTCGTGTAATTGGCCCACCGACCAGTAGATGGCGCCACAGCATCATCAAATCCCGACGCCAGTCGACATGCGTCATATGGCTCTAACCTGCCGCCTCAATGTATTGCTTAACGTCAGCCGCGTAAGACGCTGGATCATTCAACGGTGTCGCGCCTGTGCTGCGGAAGAGCGCAGGAACGAACTGAGCAGAAGCTCCGAATAGTTGCTTCGTTAGCGACGGCGAAGTAACCGACTGCAGAACATGGCAGCAGGCGGCGGTGGGCAGTAGTCATTGAAAGACGATTTGCGTCTAGTGAAGCAGTGTCATGTGATTTTATCGGCAGAGTCCCTGGCAAAAGATCAGTTCTACGGCAAAAAGTCGAAGGACCAGCCAAGCGCGTGGGCTGTTACCGACAACTGCAGAACGGACGACGGAAATACAGAACTGAGTAAGTTAACATGCGAGAGAGGTGATACGATTTCTTGACCCGTATTGCATTCCGAGTGCGTTTGTATAATAGATAAAGACGTATGTTGCAAATGTGGGTGCATATATGATTAGGTTGCGGGATATGCGCGTTGTCCGGTGCACGGAAAAACCTAAAGCTTTAGCTTGTCTATTCTTGAAAAGTGCAAATATTTAGTAATTATATATTGGACCTCCTTTGAATCAAAATATTATCTCTATTAATCGAGTTATTTTTATTGCAATTCATTTAGCAGCTGTAGCTCAGGAATATTTGGTTCTCAGAAGAAAAATGGAAGGTTTTAAGATGCGACACACTCGAGATGTACATTTAAGAAATAGAAAAATGTATAGTTACTATGAGAATCTCGTCCACCCTAACAGAGGGCACGCAACTGATTGTATACAACGAGTGCTATCTGGCATATTCTCTATGGCCAATCAAACAGTTATGGGTTAGTCTAGCTATACGGGTTCTTATCTACGTAACCGTTTAGTAACCGTTGCTCCTAAATAAAAGCGCGTGACGCTGTCTGTCCGAGCAGGTCAATACTGAGCGTGAAATTTTGTTGGCTAAACCTATTCTTCGACTTGCAACCTCGAGTACCAGCTGTCGTCTCATTGCGACTACCCCCCGTACATACGACTATCTGATATTTACTATTACGATCAGACATCGTCTTCGAAATTGGTTCCTTTTTAATCCAAACTGATCACCGACATATGTGTCTGGTGTTAGCTTTGGTAAAGCGAGACATAAAGACCTGCTTTACTGATAGGAGCCAGCTACTGCTGCTATTAAAACACTAGTGCGGAATCGGGGGTAGAAGGCAATAAACCCTGCCCAGTTGGTTTGGCTTACCGGGTCGATGTTGTACATTTTCCCATTGCCAACAATAAGAAAGGAAACGAGGTTAACGGCTCCGTCAAAATCGTATTTACAATTGTATCACGATCTAACTCCATAACTTACGCTTGCGGATGCAATTATTTTTTTTTTAGCCTTTTATAGAATTCGCACTAAATCTACAGATGAAGCTTCAGTTGAAAGACCTTTGGCAAAGGTCAGGTGCTTGGTCTACTTAAATCGTTGAGGTCTTTTATTTCTATATGTTATGCAGCCAATGAGCGACGATCAGCGTAGCACCATAACACCCTCTCATAATTCAGCAGCTCCTTGCACCTTAAGTGGAATGTAACATATACAGAAACTTCAGACAGGCAAAAATCAAATGGAACTCGAAATTAGTATCCATGCACTATTCATTATTGTTGTGCCAGCCTAACAACGAGGCCCATCTCTCACTGTCAAATTGCAGCGGCGGAATAGGTAGGCCGGATCAGCAAAATGGTTTTAAGTTAAATCGCAAAACTTTTGATTTTGACTCCGATAAAATCACGGTACTGAGGTGACGTCTAATCAACGTTAATGCATCTAGCAAAATCGTTTCCTGTTCAAGTCGATTGCTCGCAGGAGCCTTCCATCAGTAACCCTATTGTACACGTTATTTCGATACACATGGTAACACAGGAGTTTGTATTAAAGCTAGTCAGAGAACTTAACGCATAACATCATAAGTGCCCGATTATCTTAAAGAAACATTGCAACATGGAGGATTCGAAGCTCAGTACAAAGCCGAATTTGAAAAGGATGACTGCGAAGGCCACAATTATAAAAAGCGAAAGCGACAGGCGGTCCTATCGTATCATAGAATTAAAAAATGGACTAAGAGTGACACTGATTTCCACTGCGAGAGGAGTTGTCGACGAAGGAAAGAGAAAAAGTGTTAGAGCGACGACAGTTAACGAAGGAGTTAAGTCCCAAACGAATCTGACGTATCTTGACCCAGTTACGTATTACCACGAGCCGGGTACCTTCGCGGCTGCCTGTCTGGCCGTCAAATGTGGAACCTTTGATGATTTACCCGATATGGAGGGCACTGCACATTTCGTCGATCATATGATACTTCTAGGTTCGGCAAAATACCCAAAAGAAGACGAGTATTTGCGATTCATATTTAACCATGGAGGCTCGGCAAATGCGTTTGCGGCACGCGAAACAACTTTATTCCAACTGGAAATTATAGAGTCGGCGTTGCCTGAGGGGCTGGACAGGTTAGCAAATCTTTTTATTGAGCCGAAATTTAATAAAGAAGCAATCGAGCGGGAAATAAACGCTTTGGAGAGCGAATTTCAGCTTCGGAAGTCTTCGGACGCTTTCCGATTAGTAGAGCTGTTGTCTCATCTCGTTGGAAAGGATCACCCGATGGGCCTATTTCGATGGGGAAATACTCATACGTTAGTGACAAAGCCTTGCGAAAGGAATGTTGACGTAAGTAATGCACTACGGTCGTTTTTTAAGCGGCATTACCTGCCGGACAGAATGTCGCTGTGTGTTCAGTCGATAAGAACGCTTGACCAATTAGAGAAACTTGTCGAGGAACGTTTTAGTAAGATTCCGAGATCAAGTTCGTCAGATTTTTCTAAAAGTGGGCCTGCAAGAATTCCTGTAGTTCGTCGAGCTCCGTTTAGCCAAAACCCGAATTTTTATAAACTGCATAAAGTTATACCCCTTCAGAAGGAACTTTGTGTCTCATTCTTTTGGGTCTTACCTCCACAGAAAAAGTTTTACAAAGAGAAAGCAATAGAATATTTGACCTATATTATAGGTCACGAATGCAAGGATGGTTTATACGACAACCTAAAAAAAGAGGGCTGGGCGCTTAAACTGTCGGCGGGTGTGGAAAGGGACGGTTTCAAAGATTGTAGCTTCTGCACAATTTTCTCGGTTGAAATTTTATTAACACCAGACGGAGCGCAAAACGTGCAAGGGGTGACACAATACGTTCATCAGTTCTTGCATTTAGTTCGGAAGACTTGTCCTCAGAAACAGCTGTGGGACGAGCTAAGTGCCATGGGGCAGGCTCATTTCCGCTTTTTGTCTTCAGTTGAGCCTCTGGAATATGTGCAAGATATTAGCTTAGCGATGCATAACTTTACGGAACAGCATTACCTTTGTGGGTCTTATCTTTTTCTCAACTACGATCCCGAACATATACAATCTCTCTCAGAGCTGTTGACACCCGAGAAATGCAGCATCATGCTCGTGCACCATGCATTTGGAGATGAGGCAAGCTCCTTCCAGCGGGAGCCCTGGATGGGAGTGCGCTACAACGTTGAAAATTACCCTAGTGACTGGATTCGTCTATGGGTAGATAACCCAGAATTTCAAAAAAGATTTTGCTTTCCTGGTAAGAATCCTCTACTTGTGACGAATTTCGCTATTGTCGAGAGCGACCCTTCTGGTAGAACTATTCCACAGGAACTTGAAACAACAGCCAGAGGCCGACTATGGTACCTTAGAGGCAACCAATACTTTCTGCCTAAGTGTTTTGTTTACGTGAATTTTAAATGTAAGCCAGCTGCATCGCTTGAGAACCTTGTGGGTGCCGAGGTACTCACGCAGTTGCTTTCATATCGATTGACTGAGATAAGTAGTTATACTGAACTGGCTGCTTTGGACGTTCATTTAAGTTTAGAACTTACTTTTAAAGGGTTTAGTCAAGCGTTGTTACAGTTAGTCCGGATTGTGATGGATCAGTTTGCTGAACTTGACTGTTCGGATGAGGTGTTTGAAACAATCAGATTTGGCCTAGCTAAAGATTGTTACAATTCGGTTCTGCAGCATAAATGCTATGCAGAAAGTATCATGGCGACAATTTTGCAGTACGGATTTTGTCCGTTGGCCGACAAATACAAGGTCTTAAAAGCTATAACGAGACAGGAGGCGATGCGACAAGTGCGTGAAATTTGCAATGCTGATATCGAGGCTTACATGCACGGAAACATTACGCCGGCGGAAGCACGTGAACTATTTTCATATATTGAGTCAAAGCTAAAACCACATCAGTGTGAGTTCTTACTTGCGGGGTCTGGCAACAACCCAAACAAAGAGTACAGCTTGAAGAGATTTGCGAATATCACTCAGGAGATCCTTGTACGCGTGTTGGGCGTTAATACCGAGGAGAAATGCTCCCGAATAATGAACTATTATGTAGGAGGCACGCGCGCAGCGCCTACGGACGAGCTTATATTGCAACTATTGATTATTATGATAAAGGCAGACTGCATCCTCATTTTACGGACATCTTGGCAACTGGGCTACGATCCGGCCTGCGACGCTAAGTGCCACAATGGAATGCTGGGATTTGTTTTATCTATATCGCCCATGGCAGACAAATTTACGCTAAGTTATATTGATCAAAAGCTTGACGAATTCATTGGTTTGATGGTTTTCAAGTTCGAGCGACTTGATCGAGGCGAGTTTGAGACGGCAAAAGACGTCCTGGTGAAGCTCAGACTGTCTCAATGTGATTCGTTAGCGGAGGGCGAAGAGCAGAAATATTGGAGCCAAATTCAAACCCAGCAGTATGTATTCGATGCGGAACAGCAGCAGCGTGAGGCTCGCGCAATTCGAGAGATTCCTTACGATTTGTTTCGATGTTGGGCCACCAGGTTTCTCTCGTGTATAAGTACGCAGCGTCCAAAAGTGTCAGTGCAGGTTGTTGGTTACGGAAAGGCCGCTCTTGAGGAATGCGTGGGCGGAGAGCAGATATGGAAGGAATACAATGAAAAACCGAACAAAGATGTACCTAACATGGATGATGATATTCCAGAGGTGCGAGTACTCATGCCGAAGGACGCTGGCAACAAAAGATACGTACCGGACCTTAATAAACTCTTCCACCGGTAATGCCCACGCACTACTCATTTGTAGAAAGGTTGATTAGTTCATTACACCTGTTGTGTAGTATAGGGTAGGTCGAACGTTTGTTCCATTTCCCCTTTGTTATCCGGTGTAAAACAGTAAACAAGCGGAGACCAATGGTCTGTCGAGCAAGACGAAACAGCTTTTCGATGACGGAGTTTGGAACAGCATTCTTCTTTGACAACTCACTATCAAAATGGGAAGTTGATTACATAGGCTATTAATGATTACTATTAATGACAAAAGGACAGTATCGAGGCAACTGATGAAAATCAATTCAAAAGGACCAACTCGCTCGCAGGCCAAATCAAAACAGAAGAGGTACGAAGGTGACGAACAAATCGGGATCGCTGTAACGGGCCAACGACACGTCATGCTTAACGATTCATCCTGCCGAGTTGTTCAAGCGGTCCTTAACTAGACATTTGATTCATATTATTTAGGCACAAATCAGACTCATTAGGTTCGATTGAGGCGAAAACGAGAACACTTATAAAAATTTCGGGAGGTATTGAGATGGCTGGCACACCAGTTTTCGGCCCATAATGTAAATGTGTTTTCATATATACATAGGGGCATAGAACATATTTTGACTTTGGTCTTAGTGAAACTACAGCTTGTGCAAAGTGGATCATATGCCTCGTGCAGGCACACAATCTCGATCTACGGTTAAAGGTTGACCTAGATGTCTCAATAATACACGCATATTGCTCACGAGCTTCAAACGCTTGACAATTCTATGAATGTAGATCCTTCACTCCCTTAAGAGAAATTCATAGGAATGAAAAGTGCGTTCTGCGAGAATGAACAAAAACATATATATTTAATGTGTTTTTGTTCATTCTCGCAGAACGGAAATTTTAAAAGCATCGTTGAACACGAGAGATTACTTGATTCCTGTTCTATAGTTAGAACATTCACTTAGTTCTTATAGAAAGAAGTCGACTGAAAAGTTGTGACTGAGATCATCAATCACCCATGAACCCATCCATGCCTGTGTGAAACCCTACATTTGAACGGAACTAGAATGCAAAGATTTTGTCCGCATTATTTAGAAGGATTTTGAAGACTACAGTAGTATACGATTAAAGTACGTCTATGCGTTAAAATAGGAAGTCCTCCCCCCAAAAATTTGTATATGGGGATCGAGGGCTGCAGTTACCATAAATCCACATGGGTAGTGGCTTTGCTAAACAATTTTTCAGTGTTACAGGCAGTCACAGGACCATGGACATGCTTTTCACCCCCTAAATAATAAATTCCGTCGCTATTTTGCCTTATAGTCTACTGTCCAGTGGGTATCACTCAAAACTGATGTCTTACACTCGTGCCTGTCTTTGAATCACAAAATAATCAATGAATTGCCTGATTTTTCGAGGATTACGCTATCTTATGTAAATACACACGGGGACTTTCCGAACAATGTAAAATTCGCTTAAATTGCTCAACTAACAACTCACAGTTCATTATTAATTTTAGTTGTTTTAGAACTCATCGATATATATATATATATATATATATATACATACGTAACAAATGTGGCCCACCATAAAGCGTCGATATACTCGTTCAGTAAATGTATAAGCTGCTCGTTATATATCATTAGCGTATCATCAAATCAGAAATAACTATGTCTATTATTGAATTTCGTTTTAGTTTTTTTTGCTAAAAATTGTACACTTCAGAGCGACGATTAGGGGCCGAATATGACGGAGAAGCAAGAGGTAAAGCCCTTTTTCCGAATCAGCCAGGACGGTGCCAAGGAAGCAACAGTTAGCCAATATAGCGCCCACATCAAACGGCTACGGAGTACTTTTGCTGCCGGTGGGTATTTTAATAAAAAGAAAAATTGAAAAACTAGAGGACTTAAATTGGGTGTGCGTCGCAAATGTATTAAATCCCCGTTAAATAGGAATGCACCAAAATTAATAATTATTATTACTTTTCAACTGGAACCCAGTGTGTGGTTTTCAACACTTCGTCACTTTCCACATAGGAGTAAATAGCCCTGACAAAATATCCGCAGGGGACATTAAAAAAAATGTCCCCTGCGGATATTTTTAATAATAAAAAAATTACCTTTTTCGAGGCATGAGCGATATTGAGCAACTCTATACTGGATTTTTAAGACACTTCCTGCTTAATGAAACAATATTATGGTCTGTTTATATATAGCGCGTAGTGAATACACACGGTTCAGAGACGTAATCGCACGGAACAGAGATACTAACACGTTTTTCCTGTAGCTCTAATGGAGCGTGTTACTGTCACAAATGATCGTCAGCTTCCTTGCCCACTGATGAAACCATCTACAACAGCTTCGCTGGCTTAGGGCTTGGAAGAGCTTGATTTACAACGACGTGAAAATTTTCCTCACAATGACAAGTTATAGCTCGATTTTGTCAGTATATAATATGCTTGGAATAAAAAATTGCTTGGAAAGATACCCGATCCATCTCATAGATATAAATTCTAAAGCAACGTCAAAAGCAAACCCAATGACGATTAAAAAATCATATATTGCAAAACTACTTCAAATACCTGGCGTATTCACTAGATATAATTATTATAGGATACATTATTTGCTTTAAATTACTTCAGAGTGCTATATCTGTTTACTCGCAAGATCCGGCGTAAACAAGTTCTAAACATGTATTAATTATTGCAGCTATATCGTATTTGTTTATCGTTAATGTTAGTATCGCGCTCTGTGCATACGAATATATTAGCGACAGGCATTTCCAAAGATCCATTCAAAACAGAATTCTCTAATCGAGATCTGAGTTGTGTATTTGTTTTTAAGCTATAAACAATCACTTATTCATGTTTTAACGCTGTATCTTTTAGGTCGCACAAGACCGTTGGCCTGGCGAATTCGACAGCTAGAAGCGCTGAAATCCTTTTTAACTGACAATTACGAAGCACTAATTACCGCGTTATATTGTGACCTTCGCAAAGGCCGTTTGGAGGCGATAATCTTCGAGGTAGATTTCGTTCTAAATGACATCAATGGAGCGCTCATGAACATCGGCATATGGGCACAGCCCGAACCCATCCCCAGGACGCTTATGACCTTAATAGACACAAGTACTCTTCACAGTGAGCCACTTGGATTGGTTCTGTTGTTAGGTGCGTGGAACTACCCTGTTCAAATTACCCTGAGCCCTCTGGTAGGTGCAATCGCTGCAGGTAACTGTGTCGTTATCAAGCCTTCGGAGCAAAGTCCGGCAACGGCTGCCCTTTTGGAACGTCTAAAAAGCTATCTTGATAACGAGGCCTTTCTAATCGTAAACGGCGGAGTTGAAGAAGCCACCGAGTTGCTGAAAGAGCGTTACGACATAATTTTCTACACAGGCTCGGTTAACGTTGGTAAAATCATCTATGCTGCCGCCCAGAAGTATCTGACACCTGTCGTACTCGAGTTGGGTGGTAAGAGCCCGGTGTACATCCACCCCGATGTCGACTTGGGCATAACAACAAGACGAGTACTGTGGGGAAAATTTGTGAATGCAGGCCAAACCTGCGTCGCTCCTGATTATGTCATATGCCATGAACAGATCTACGATCAATTCATTTCAACAGCGAAACGAATAATTCGGGAGTTCTTCGGTGATGACCCGAAGTCATCACCTGATTTTGGTCGTATCGTAACAACCGGCCACGCTGAGCGCCTTGTTCGTTTGATGCGGGGGGCGGATATCGTCGTTGGAGGAATTGCCGACCCTGACAATCGTTATGTGGCGCCGACAATCGTCAAAAACGTTCAAGGTTCGGATCCGCTGATGCAAGAGGAAATCTTTGGACCGATCCTTCCGGTTATGAAGGTCAAAGGACTCGATGACGCTATTCAATTTATTAACTCTCGTGATAAGCCTCTTACGGCATATTTGTTTGCAAGAGACCAGCGAGTCATTTCACTCTTCACCAGCGAAACCTCTTCCGGATCGTTGTGTATCAACGACGTTCTTGTTCATCTATCGAATGAGGGCTTGCCGTTCGGGGGAGTCGGTACCTCGGGCATGGGCCGATACCATGGCAAGTACACCTTTGACTGTTTCTCCAATAAGAAAGCTGTCATGCAGAGAGATTTCTCCTATATTGGTGAGATTGTCGGAAAAAAGCGTTACCCACCGTACACGGAGAAAAACCTTCAACTTTTTAAAATAATTCTGAAACGGCGCGGGCGTCTCCTTGGGCCATTTAGACCCTTTGTCCTGCCATTGTTTTGGGCGACAATCGGTATTCTTTTTTATCGCTATTTGTTGAGGTTTCTCTGATCAGACAGTAACATTAGTATGGTGCAAAATATTACCATGCTACGCTGATATTGTTCGTGCGGCTGTGCTATATCATTCGATTCACCGCAAATAAAAATCAACCTAGGTTACAAAGATATTATAACATGGCAGTATTCACAGAAAAAGACAAAACTGCTAATTTCTTCTATGTCCGACACGTCGTCACAACAGATGACTACCTCGTCTGCTCTGTAGTCCATGTCACAATGATTAAATAATTAGTACAAGTTAAGTTATAAATAGTACTACTTCTTAGCGAAGGAATAATGTACAGGCATGTATCTATAATATCGGTCATTGACAAGGTAACTTGCCAATACAACTCAATGCTTTTCACCTCCTCTGTGCAATATATAGTATACCCCTTATTAACCCAAATCAGGAAAATTCCAGGTACATATGTGGACAGGCATCTTAATAATAACCTATAAGAATTTACGAAGCGAGTATTGTTGTCATAAGGACGCTTACTTGTCAAATAAATATTGGTTTCATAACGTAAAGGCAATAATAAAGTTGTTATGAAGGCCAGTGATAAGCCCCTACATGCACGCTCCTTCTCTGTGTAGAGCGTCTATTGAGTTCAAGCAATTTTGTTCTAAGAAACCCGTTAACGCGCTACATAATGACATCTTTTAAATAGTTAAGCGTTTCAATACTGGATCCTCTACCCCTCTATAGCATTGTGATAACTACTGGTCTAATATCGTTTAGTAAACAAATCACCACTTTGAAGTACAATATCTCGTAGAGGTTTCGGCGAAAATTTTGTCGCCTGAAAACAGAATCAAATCTAGAGTACTGGCGCCGTTATTGATGGAACATTTCGAAAAAAACTTCAGTTATTTTGATAGTATGATGACTTGCTACCGTATTCACGCTGAAAGCAGGTTGGAACAAAGTGTAAGTACAAAGGTAGCATCAGATTCAATTCAGGTACTCGAACACCTCTAAGCAGATGACAAACAAGCTAAAGCCGTACGAAATATACAACATCTTAAGTACACGTCCATAGGAGCAATTTTAAGAACCGAGTCCTTACTGCCTCAGGCAAATAGTTTGAACCGAAGGGCAAACTTCACCTAGCACAACATCGGTGCTAGTGAAAAGGGTGCCTTCACGTTCTATGTAACCTGCTACTTTCTGTTACAGTCCTCAGCGGCTTTTCGTCATCTTTATTCTCTAATTTTTCACCGGTGCCGTCATGGTAGACGAGGGCTTCACTTGCTTTCTTGAAGAAGGACGTTCATTTTACAGAAGTTAACTAGGGCACCCACCCTAGTTCCCCAATTTGAATGTACTTACCCTTCATCTGCATAACCTGGCCTCTTTCCATTGTTACCCATTTTTCTTAGCGAGAAGGAGGCAGGTCCAAGAGCCAGTCGAGCGCTCCGACACCCCGCGTTTCGAAGCCTCGTCGCCTCGTCACCCGTCGGGTTTCTAAGGCCTGACCCAGCGGCTGCTACGGACAGCACATGTTGATTTATCTATTTATTCGCGTTCTTTCTCCTAGGCCCACTACCCCGTTACTACTTAGGACGAATCTACCATATATCCTACTAATAACGCTCGTACCGGTTTGCTATCGTAGTCGTGCTTATTTTACTCCTACACCAACAGCAGTAGTAGAAAGAGCATACTGCGTAAGAGCCCGAGTTAGAGTCCCCTTGAGCCGTTCGTGGCCCACGCCGCGAGGACAAGGGCGGTGTTCACAGCTCCAATTACGCTGCTTCGCTGATTGGACGAAAAGTAACATTTAAAGGGGGTAACCTTTCGAAACCCCCGCTCTCTCTCGCAGTAGGCTGTCACGAGATGCTGAGAAGGCGGGAATCGCATGTATGAGAAGTAGGCCTACAGTAAGTTTGAGGATCTTTTGGCGAGATGCATTTAACAGAAAGAGAAACTGGGAAAAAGCTGCAATAGAAAATGACTTGATACAGAGGCAAATGGCAAACATTTCATATCGCTGCAGTTAGCTTAGTGCCTATACTTCTAATGGTTGTTATCGCTCTTGATGCTACGAATGTTCGGATGAATGGCCAAAACTTTAAAAGTCGAAAACAAGTTTTATATATATAATACTTACATTAAGTGGGTTGTACATAGTACATAGAAAACATGGTATATGTAGTAATAAAGCATGACAATAAAAAAAAATAAGCAAAGTCCTGCAGGAAAAATATGTATATACTTTTTTTATTATTACTATATAGACTATTCTTTGTTGTTTATGTGGTACATATAATATACCTAACAACAAATCTAAATACTTTTGCAGTTGTTCCTAGTCGACGAGTTAATGAATTAAAAAAAAAGTAGAAAAAATTCTGTTTTTTTTTTTGTTGAGAGACGAGAGGAATTCAGTATTTAATATTTAAATTATTATTTATTTTTTTTTTATTTCGAACGTTCATTGGAAAGTATCGCTTTCAAATACGTGTCACTTTTACCTAGGTGCGAAGATCATTAGCCACTTTCCTCATATAGAGACAGAATAACCTTTTGCGGAATTACCTTTCAGGCACTCAAATTGTAGTATGGCAACACTGATTCATATCATGCAAAGCCGGCGGCTTGCGCAAGAATGTGTTATATTGCTGATATAAAATATGCCTAAAGTACATGTACCTGGAAGTAGTGGCCTATATTTATACAAGCTTCTGACTAATCATAGGTTGTGTCGGCTCCAAAAGGGAATGTCATCAACTATTTAAAGTGGCAATCAGCAAAAGCTATAACGGTAAACGTCATTGCCTGCCAGAGCCCCTTATCCCGCAATATCTTGGCTAGCTACATTTCTCGATGAATATTTCAAAAGGACGTAATAGAATTCGTTGTAGAATTGTGCGTGGAGAAGCGGTTCGCCCGCATGAGATGTTTTCACTGTGCGACGGCGTCGTCGTCCGACGAGGTCTAGGCAGACCCTCAGTGGCCCCGCAGTCAGAATTTTACGGAATGTTGTATTTTATTGCCCCCTTAACGCGACCGTAGCCGGTAGCGGGTTAGCTGGATAGCTAGCTGTAAGACCATGCATCTCTCGGACCGGGGACTAGCGTACCGTGGTTTTGTTGCGATGCGGCGCGGTTCTCTCTACAACCTGACGGTGTGTAGTGCTTGGTTAAAAGCCCTTCAAACGGTTGCAGGAGCTGTAAGGGGGAAGGCAAAGGGGAAACAGAGAAAAAGAGGCCGTTTTATAGCTTCCGCTCGTGCAAACACCCACAGCCCAACAACCGCGAGCTTCACCGGCTCCCTTGAGCGCGGTTTTTCTTCCTCCCCAGAAACGAGCCCCACAAAAACCCATCGCATATACGAAAACCTTTACTCGTGCGGACTCAGTGGCTATCTTGGGCTACCGCCAGCACGCCTATGATCCACTGACCAACCACCCGGGCTTTAAGGTCCCCACTTTTCTAACAGCAGCCTATTCCACCAAGCCCTTTGGCGCTCATCCTTTGTAGGCGAATACAAAAATGTTGCAGCGAAAATTACTGCTTAGGCGAGCTGTCTCAGTCCGTCTTGGACGTCACCCCCCAAGAGGGCCCTTCTTCGCTGGTCGAGAGGATATTTGAAGCACGCGAGGCGAAAGGGAAGACCTAAACTCGAGGGCTGCTGGGACTGCGAAATGCGAAAGCTCGACGAACAGAACAACGGCATGGATAGATCAGTGCGAGCAGTATATAACAAAGGGATGGTTTGCGATAAGTTACATGCTTGCAGTCGTGGTTTTCCTGCTTGACGCGAATTTGAGGAAACAGCATCACTATGTGTGTGCAGCGAACAACTGCACGTACTCAGTATCTTGTGCTGAATTAGACGACGACGTAAGATACTGAATTTGTGTCATTGATAGCACATGTTGAAAATGGTCTACGGCGCAACTGAGATAGTAATGTCTTCTATTTATTATACAGGATACTCATTGTACTGAACGTATACGAGCCTTTATCTATCGCTTTTACTACCTAAATCGTTGATGTCACATACCAATCAACTTATGATTCGGATATATATATTAAGAGCTGTTCCGCCACACGGTACCTTTTTGTGCAGGCTCTTTTCATCTTGCCGCAGTTCTTCCCATACTGTACACATTCGTATGTAACTCATTTTCAGAAAGCGAAAAATTAGATAAACACAGCGCCTTAGAAAATCATAGAAGAGTATAATCAGCAACAGTGCCTTCTTGGGGCGTCCTACGAGACGACGTATGTTCGAGCCCGTAGTGAGAACATTCCAACGCAATGATAGCGGGCAGCTGCTTATTCTGGTAGAATAGCTGTTAAAATGAGTGCGTCGTAGATTTATGAGATCTCGAAGATTCGTTGGTAAATCCGTGTAGCAAATGCCATCTAGCACTCGCCGTAAAAACGCTTAATTTAATCCTGGCAAGGCTCTTCACGAAACTCTAATGTAAACCGCTACTTTTCCAAAAATTGTTATTGCACTCAGGCTTTCATTATCAGTGAAAACCACCAGATGCTTTGAAAAATGCTTTGCTAATACACTTGGTTTGGTTGGATCTATCAGAGTCTGGGCCTAGAGCTGGAAGCTTTCTAACCGCACCAATGAGACGGTAAGTTCTTTTAAACTTATCGTCTCACTGTAAAATCTTCCAGTCTTAATAAATTTCTAGATTCGCTGCAAATGCATCACCAAAAACGTCTTAGCGGTGCTCGAATCGTACAAAACCCTTGTAACTATCGTATAAAGTCGTGTATCATCGCGATTGATAACTAACTAATTGACTTATGCTAGAAGAAACAAACCTGACACAAACGAAGGCACATAACCATAACAACGAACCTAGATGGCTGCGTGTGCACCTTACAATTAAGGAAATCAATATTTCACGCGGCTACAATGATTATTAACCAGTATTCATTATATTCTTGTAAATAAAACACCCTTGTTTAGCTCATCTTGACAACTGTAAATCAACTCTTCTATGATGGATATTACAGGCCCATACACTAGAAACATTTGCATGGCATTCAGTCGTCTGCTGAGATTCCTCCCGGTTGTTTATAGCAGTTCTGTCGGTAAAATTCCCATCAGTTCGCGCTGTGCTCCGCCCGTCCTCCAAAAAACTTTTGTTATCACGGTGTTGTACCCCACACTTCGTAGGGAATGTACCTGAGGCATGTGTGTACGAGCCCCTACGGGCCGGGCTGATGAACGCGACCACCGTACAACCCGTCCACTGAATTTTTCAGAACTGTTATGATGGGGGTTCCATACCTTCATTAGTGCTCTGGCCTGCTTGCTCTCTATCACAGGCTGAAGTAATGCGCGCGAACTCTTCATCTGAGCTGAACACACTAAATGCTTATGGCTCGAATAGACCCAAATTCTTTTGCCGTTTGCGTCCATACAAATACAGAAATCATTCCGAGTACCGTCGCTGTCTAATTTTTTCTTTCGCAACGTGACCAACTCTAGTTCTAGATACTATCTGCCAGATGCTGTGTTCTTTTAGTCTATTGCTAGCCAATACTGCCGTTTATATGAAGATATTGTTAAAACGCCTTTCTCTTGTCGCTGTAACGGTATCCGAACCCCGAGGACGCTCTTTTTATAATAGCTAATTTCAAAACGAATCGTCACTAAAATAGTCAAACAGGAGATATAGAGTCAAATAGTCGAGAGGAAAGATCCACTGTGGAATGATTGTCTAAGGTCGGGATCTGCATTTGTTGCCCATGAGCACCGATTCAATGCTTAGCACAAAAGCACAACCTCTTTTGACCACTTTCAAAGCATATGTCAGGAACTACAGTGTGTCGAACTAGCGTCGGCCCTACGATACGGTGACGGGAGGTCGGTGCCTGTAAAAGGTAAGACGGCCTTATGTCGAACAGCGTTTTTCAGCTAAAAAACGAAATTAACCTGTCGTCACTGGGAATTCTGAGTGTTGACTTGTCAAATTATTTCGAGCCCGCCATCCGTTCCTGTTCCAATATTTACGAACGCTACCTCAAAATCTCTTTGTAGATGCCCTTGCACTATTCTCTCCGCTTGTTTCGTGCTGTACCCCCCACCCCGCCCAATGCGCCTTCGGGAGATTTCAGTTAATTCTTGCCGACCCGGTTAGTTTAGTGGTGGTCGACGAGTCCACGAAACTATGCCATTATTTGGTGGACGGCAAGCTGTGTGAGTGCATGTGACTATGTCAGTCTGTGTACACGGCGGAGTGCACTGCTCTGTCTGCTCTATAGACTTGACCACTCTCACGATGGAAGACACCGCTCACTGTCACAGGGGTGGCGACCGACGGGGGTGCACTTGCCGCGTACAGAGGGGAAAAACGAATGCGAAGTCGGTTCATCGGTGTCTCGCTAGTGTCCACGGATCCAATCCGACCAATGCGGACGTTGAAAGGCCAAACTGCTCCAGAAGCAGAGTTCACATCGGGATTGCCCTATGAGGTTTGTGGCATAGGGAGACACGAAGAAGGCGAAGTTGTGTACACAATGGACCTAGGTGCTTCGAATCAAATAGCGCAAGCACAAATCCAGCGCGTCCCGCTGCGTAAACTCCCCGGCGGTTCAGTTGAACTAGATGGACCGGGCAGGTAGATCGTTACCCCCACAATGACTGAATGTGCACACCCCACAACTACTACCGAGTTTCGGTGTATATATCAGAGAGCGCCAAGGGTATCTATTTTAACTCTAAAAACGGACCGATATTCTATTAAAAGAGTAAACATTCAATTCGTTGATCATTGGCTGGTTTGAAGCTTCAATTTACTGCACTATTTGTTTATAGGCAAATCCTCTAAAATAGCATGGTCTTACGCTTTTAGCCATGGAAACGCTTACTCCTGAAAAACTTACATGCTCTGTTGGAATTTAATCGCGATTCGTCTATTATTTGCGTTTGGGTAAGATTTCTAAAAAAGATACCGATGAACACATATGCCCAGTAAGCTTTTACGAGACGAGACAATATAGAAGCAACCTATTCATATGAGAACGTTGTTCTCCCCTACTTGTACCAGTATCACGTCGCATGGCATCTTCAGTCAGCAGCTGCCGTACCTGGACGAGGTTATCTTGTCTATTTGGCTTCATCTATGGTGGAGATCTTATGGGTTTTGCCGTAACGCAGGAGTGATGTTCAGGATGCCTTTTCACGAGCTTCTACGTGATTCGTACAGCTTCATCGTCCATGTCAGTTGTCCAATAAGTCTACGTTTCTTGTTGGACTTTTGCTGTCAAGCGGCTGGAGGAATGACGTGTTCAGAATTTTAGCGGGAGCTTTTCCGAACAGGCAGCGAATGAAGGAAAAGCTTCCGCTGATCTAATTCCGAAATCTGATAGCTATAATTGATTCTTGTATTGTTATTCCAGATGTGTCATCGTAGCCGCACCGTTTATGCCTTCAGAAAATCTCCTCTGTCAAAAAGCACCTAGTTTTGCTAACAATACACCGGTACTGCAATATGTCGATTTGACTGTGTTGGGTTCTCAATCGAGATGCTTTCCCATGCAAGTTTCATGTGAAATGTTGCACGTTCAGTGCTTATGGACTAGCTGACTCCTTAGTTTACGTAGCAATGTGCAGGTAACTTAGATATTAAAGTTACCTGTATTTACTTTTTCACTAAGCTCTGGTCTGGTATGGTTAGGTGCGCCTGAATACGGGTCACTTTTCCTATGCGAGAAGTATCTTTCTAGAATTGGACTGCTGACGCGCACGTAAACGGAACAAGACTTGAAACTGTCAAATAGAAATAAGTTCTTTCCCACAGTACCTAACCTATATATATAGGTTAGGCACTGTGGGAGAAGACAAAAATTCGAGCAACAGTTAGAACCCAATACAAATTCAGTTCTAGAAGAGGGATTCTAGCTGCCAAACTAAGAAATGCCTCTATTAGTTGGTCGAGTTAGAAAGGCGTTACACATTAGCTTTTTTTTAATTTTATCATCCTGCCTGTGTAAAAGGAGTTCCCTTGGTATCCACCTCGCGTATTTAGTTCACCAGCGGCCTGCATAAACGAGTGTTCTACACGGTATAAAGTAAATTTTACTCATCGAAAATTAAATAATGCAACAGCCGGTGGAAGGGCAACTGCAGCTGAGAGCCCTCGATTTAATAGAAAATGATCGAACTTTTTGCGAGTAACTTTCAAATGATGAAGGTGACGGATTCTAGACGCTAGATGCTGCAGCCGAGTACGTCGTGATATGTTTACTACATTCTAATATATTCTAAGTAAAACATTTATGATTACGTCACACTGACGTTGTAGTTAAAATATCATAAGTCGTTTCGTGAATACGTTTTTTTAATGAAGTTTATGTATACGTTTCCAATACTGTGGTCAACGTTTATGACATATATCTGATTAGAATCCCTACCCAAGTGTGGGTCAGCCTGAGGGTTCTTGAACAAGCCCGAGCCGTTGCGGTTAACAGGGCAAAAAACAGCAAAAGAAAAGCGAATATCTTGAGCCACCTTTTCTGTTCAAGCTCGATAAGATACGAGACCTGTTTTAAGCATGGCGCAGGAAAGATTGCCTTGAACACCTCTTCTGCAGTCCGATTCAGGACCATTTCATAGCAGAGGGGTAGATCTAGAGTGGAGAAAGCGGATTGCTATGCGTTAGTCCATAGAAAAGTGACGAATACGGTCCTGAAATAGTTCATCTTTCTGTTAAATGGCCAAAGGGCGATGGGTATATGTATGATGTACCTTTCTATCAAAACGGCCAAGCGGTGCGGGCAATAGCAGGGTTGGGAAGACTATTGCTTATGATGGAAAATACTGTGATTTGACAATCTCTAATTAGCGACGGTTCAATATGTCCATGTTTAAAGTAATTTAAAAAACAGGAAATACTTGACCGTTTTCGGTCAACACACTAAAGAACAGGCACAATAGTAGTAATAGCGACAACCAAAGTAGGACCCACAGTTACAGCCTCTGGCACGTCTCTTCTATAGCTTTCCCTAAGTTCCGTTACTACACGAAGAGGTATTCTGCTAATAAATTAATTATCGAATAAAGTCGTTAAAAATGACTTCTATTTACGACATTCAAGGTTTAAGACATATTCAAAGCTGATCACACCAAGCAGTCTACAGCACGACTCAGGTATGCGGCAGCGATATATAGACGGATTGTCTTCATTACAGCGGAAAACACTGTTTTTATCCCAATCGCGCCAGCTAAAGACGCCGCAGCAATTATGTTCCTGTTGAAGACGGTCCACGAACCTGTAAATCAGACGCACAATTGACGTTTTCCCGTTTAAAGGTTTTCATTTACTAGAAAAAAAAAAGCTATCCCACCTAACACAGCATTGATGATCGGCAAACATTGGTTTCCTAATCAGTTCGATACGTACTTCTTAAACGAGTCGCTTTCGGTATAGAAACTTATGCCGAATGACGTGGCCAGCTGAAGTATGTCCGCATGAAACGCGAAGACCGACACTGCGGTGATTAACAGAAGGACGCACATGAGAAGGGCCACGACGGCCACACAGTGGCCATAGACGTGCAATGCAAATTCAATTTCTCTGTAACGCGTATATAGACTTGAGTTGTTTCAATCACTTCTAACCGAGCCGTTCGTGGACCACGTACATCTTAACTAAATTATCCCCAGCCGTGACGCTGCCGTAAAATAGGAAAGTTTTTATTCGTATAAGTGTGATGTATGAGGAATATATTGTTTAATGGATAAAAGCTCGCATTTACCTGAACGCTGCTATAAAGCCGAGGGTAGACACAATATGCATGCTGGTCGCACACACATACATTGGAATATGAAGCGCAGCTACTGTCTGAGTTGCTCTGTCTGCCTGTTACCAGACAAACATCATTCACGAACACTTACTTGGAAAATACTTAAATCAGGCTTCGTTACAGGTCCAAATATTGGCCTAGTCGAGAGACATTACTAATCAAGGCGACGTATATCTATTTCAATTAAAGCGTAGGGACTACGTTTTGCTTATTAAGCTGTGGCGTCATCTACGGCAGAGCATGAATCCCTATTGGCCTCGAGGCAGCGACTGAATAACATCCTGTCCTATATGCATGTAAATTCAAAGAGATGTATTGCGAATATGGTCACATATAGTCAAGTGCCTGGTTTTACAAGGTCTAGCACTATAAATTAGGACCAAAGCTTTTCCAGCTACTAACTTTAAAGTAGGCCAAGTCTTGGCTGCTTATCTTGTCGAACTCACAGGTGATTTTTTTTTATCACTGCGCCTAACTCGTGCGCAATGATGCCAGAAAACGCTAAAAAATTAGCAAGCATATTACTGACTTATATGTACCTGTGTAAAATTATATATTTCTTTATTTACATTATTGTTCTCACATAAATATACTATACTTCCAGTAAACTAAGGTGGACGGCTGCATTATTTCCGCCAGCTATCAACTCTTCTATCGTCAAGCTTTTAGCGCATCGCTTAGTTGAAAGCCCATAGTGCTCAAGGCCGTACGCCATTCGTCATACGCTTTATTCAGATATAAGTTTTCTAACTAACATGTGAGGCTTCAGCTCAACGAGTAGAGGGAAATACGTATAAGAATCACTCACAAACATAAACAATGGTAACAGAAATAGGGGGATTTGCCGAAAACAGTGCTGAATATCTGTTGTTACTGTGTGCTTAATTATTTTCTACGCGAATGCAAAAGAAGCATTGTAATAATTTTTCATGGCTTCGTTTAAAACTCAATATGAATAAACCTCACGTCGACAAACAACTGAAGACCTATCAAATCTTCATAATCTTCGAATTAATTTGTGTCTGCTCGTTCCCTACATCAGTTTGTAAGCTACGTTGCGTTAAATCTGCTTTCACACATGTCCTAAATTGAAAATCATTGCATATTCTTCAAGTGAAACATTGTCAATCTATTTATTAAAGCTAAATTATTAAAAACTAATATTCTCCACACTCGGTTGATTGCAAGCGAAACGGTGAGTCATTTTGATTTAATCGTTCTTTGCAAGATACAGAGAGATTCGTAATTACGATTAACAACAACATTTTGACGATGAAACGAAATAAACACCTACCTGAAGGTTACTATCGTACAAGCCTTGAAAAAATGTTATACGAAGCGCGGTGTAAAAGACGAACCAGGACACACCGGCCCAGAGGGCGTTACCTAAAAGCAAAATCTCCCGATTCGGATGCATTCTACCAATGATCTCGGTAACAGACCATTTTAGAGAGGCCAGCGCCCAGTTACGTAGGTCGGGACAAGTTTCCCTCTCGGGTGGCTTCTCCAAAGTGTATCCAGAGGTATAATAAAAGGCTGTCGACCAGGTTCGTCTAAGCAGGTCACTGATTCTTGCCTGCGTCATATTATCACTGCATTTACTACTGCAAAACTACTGCGGTGGTAACTGAAGTTAAAATATTGAAAAGTGGCTTGGCTTTTCAATATTCACAAACATGATTATCGACCACGTGAGATTTTCGTTTTCGCTGATCACTTAAAGAAAATAATATGCTAAGAGACGAATTTCGTATCCTGGCGGTCAACTATAGCTATGATATCGTAAGGCTAAGCGCGCGCACTTCACGAAACTCTCCGAACCTTTTTCCTAGAGGTGTCAAGAGTGAGGACTTCCTGGCCGACCCTCGGTCGCCCTAGAGAAAACTTTTTGTATGATAGACATAACTTTTACGAATGATCGATACAGCCAATGAGAACTTACCGTCCTCTTACGAAAGGTGTCCCTGTCCACAGAAGCACTTTTATTTCGAATTTATTGCAGCTTGTTTCCGGGTCTATTGTAAGTTGTGGAGCTATTTTGTTTGGAGGTCTAAATTATTCCCTCTTCGTTTAAAGGCTTCTCATGCTGAGAGATGCTTGCCGAACGCAATGAATTATCCACTTGGCTCTGCTATTTAAGCCTTGCGGGGCACGTTATGTAGCCCGCGGGGGCTTTGCTCCTCTACACCACAATACATTAAAGGCAGCAACTACGTTCCGCTTACATTTTCTACTTTTTTTCTGTCTATTTTTACTCCATGAAACCGATCCAACAAGCTTTAACACTACGACGAAAAACGTATATGTAGCACGAACGGCCTGTTGAAATAGGCCTGCTTAATCATTACGGCGAAGTCGCTTCTCGTGTTTGTATGGTAAAAACTATAATCTACGGCCTTTTGCATTGTATGGCAACGTTAAATTGGTGTTTAGAATCAGCAATATTACGCCCCTGGGAGCCGAATAAGCCTATCTCATACTATAATTTTGACTGTCATTATTATGGTACCTATAAAAACAACTATGTTTAGTATATTATAATAGGAATTTTGCTTTTTGTGTTCATCACTATACTCAATTTGCAGAGGTGCATCAACGAGGCGGCTTATTCAGTGGAATATGGGACCTTCCCCGGGAAAACGCTTTTGTCAGTCCGAGACCGAATACAAATATCATCAATAGGGTTTAGTGTCTCATGAGATATGCTAACACGGTTGACGGTTGTTTTGTCAATAGATCATTGTGATACATTTATTAATTAGTTAGAAACCGTTAAGTAAAAGTATTGCTATACATTCACCGGCAGTGCCTTTGCCGTATGGATGCCTGCCTTAAGCAAAATGGTTTCTTCACAAAGCAATAATAAGTTCCTATTGCTCAGGCTCAGCTAGGATATAAAAAGAATATCTACGAATTTTTGCAACAGCTAACAAATCCTGTCCTCAGCCATCCTGGCCCAACGACTCCAGCTCTTCTATTCCGTTATTTTAATAATCTAAAGAGAAGAAACCATTGGTTAGCATTATGTATTCGGCTATTTAATATATTATGAGGTCGTATTTAGGGCTTGTTTAGGCAGGATTTCGCTTGTCGTATACTACAGTACCAAAACAATAGAGTTTATATATATACATATCATCATTAAGACTTGTAGCCTATTGCGCTATTAACAGTGACAAATTGGAGTAGACTGTAATGCTTTGCCACGTGGCGTACTGTTACTATAGTAGTCTCATCATAGTAGCAAGGCCACAGATGTGACTTATTTGGACAACAGCACGTCATTCCATAGAGATAATGACGAAAGTAGGCTAACTAAAATCGTTGACACTCTGTCGCGTTGGCCAGGTATGGGATTTAAATAGATGGCCTAGAGCCGTTCGCGTTCTCGCCAGCTCTCCACGCACGAGGCGATTCCCTTGTTGTCCGGTATCATTGTCATTTATCAGTATGAGCGATCGTCGTCATTCTGCGGCGCCTACTCTATTACTCGACCGATTTTTTTTTCGGCTCCGTAGACCGCATCCGCTGATGCGCGCGCGCACCTCAAAATTTTCCGTAACCGTCGGGTCAAAAAATAGTAGTTTTCGTCGTACCTCCGTTTACGTTAAAATGCTTCACCACAGACCTTGAAGTTGCATTTTGTTCATCCTCGAATCTTGACTACTGTTTTAGCAACTTGGCTTTACCCTAATGTTTTGTTGTCACCCATTGTAGAATCAATACGCCAGTATATTTGGACAACACCTCATTTTGACAAAGCAATAGCGACGGAAACACACATATATTTTTTCATCACTAGATTGCCGTATAACAAATAACATATATAAGTTAACTAGTGGCATATTAGCAATCTATAATGTATATGCCTTACACGATACGATGGGAGACCACACGCCATGCGAACTTAGCGCATAATACCTATTTCTACAAATCTCGAAGGTTACGAAGGCGGCCCAGATGAAGATCTTGGCGAAAGCAAGTTCAGATAGCGTATATACACGGGAATAAAATCAAGCAAGAACATGTAGAGCCGATTGGCAACTTTTGATAGTCGGTCACAGGGTGGTGTGTTGTGGATATCGATCAAACCGACAAAAGCAAATCGAGTTCGCTGAGTAAAAACCGTTTTTTCTTGTAAATACGTATTTTCAATACGTTATACGTCTCCCGACGGATTTACTTAGACAATCATCAATATATATTAGTCTATTTAAGCGAAAATGGAAATCTGGGTGATTAACCATAGAGCGAAACGATACTCGTAAGTAAACTAATTTATCTCCGATTTCTCTACAAACACAACAGTAAATAACATGAAGGGCTTCATTCGGAACCCCTAAAATGAGCTGGTTAGTGCTTGGCGAAATTTGTTGACATTATAAATTTATGGTTAATATATTTGTGCCCAAAACCTATATTTTTTAAGCACATCTTATTTGACTTAACGTTATGACTTTATCATCGATAATGTTAAAGACTACCAAGAAGCATGCGAGATTATCTTGATTGGCAAGATGGACAATCGCATTTGGATCGACTGGGTCATGAACGTTGTCAAGATCGCATCCTTATATTTGGTGAAACCGACTTTTATCCACACATCTATCTGACATGTACATTATGTACAAACTCCCCCTGGGTAAGACATAAGGCCAATAAAACACCAGATACAACCCAACGGTGCGAGGGCATCCTTGGCGTAACAAGCAAAGTGACTCAAACATTCGTAATCGTGAGCTGGTTCATGTTCTTTCCGACGAAGGAACGGTGCCAGTAGACATGATCACTTCACGTAAGGCAAACTTGTCCGAGCTGCAAGGCGCACGACGAGCCTTCAGAGGACAAAAGCATTAAAATACGTTCGTCTTTGAGAAGGAGACTAAATAAATATTTCGAGCTTTTATTTCTAGCACCATTATTGCGCATTGCTTTTACGAAACATAGTGTGTCTATGCTTGCCTTCGAACCCAGACCACCACGTTCTCTTGAATCTAGTAAAAAAATATTTATTTAGACATATCCCAATAAAATACAACGAGACACCGATTTCAGGTGCTCACTGCGAATTAAGGGGCAACTACATGTAACGCTGGAGAATCATGTGAGTTCCATTTGAAGATGTTTGTAGCATGCATATACATACGAGCTACTATTTCGCGGGTAACTTTTTCAATAAAAAGAAATTAATCTTAAATCAAGGAAAAGCTGAGAACTTTGCTTGAGTGCTCATAATCAGACTCTTCAAAAAATATGGATTTATATTGAACAACACATTTTTGGCCTCCTTCTTACTTCACACACGTATATTAGAAGCAAGACAATGATTACAAATACATATGAGACAAACATGCATACAAATATCATTCGTCTTAATAACACCATTAACAAACTAACACGCTATTATCCTCAGCAGCTAAAGGACATCGTGTTGCTTTTATGTCAATTGTTTACTGTGTATTGAAAAAATTAACCGTTTTTTCCATACAAAATAAAAATAAATATGTACAAAGCGTGCTTCCAAGTGGGAGAAGTGTTTCTGCTTTGAAGAACTTGTGAGCTTGATCAGGTATACAAACATATACTTTAATACGTCCATAGGTTCCCATTTACTTAGTTTAATTTTGGTTTACCCCCCTAAGCAGCTCTTTACGCATAGCTGCAGAAATCGTACTACACTGTAACTACTTTATAAAGTACAGACAAATTAAATCCGGTACTTATTTACACGTTTATTCCAATTTCGCTTAGATCGTATCATTTCATTATATATTTATCGGTATTCACAGATTAGATGAGTTCTAATTGCGTTGAACATCTTAGAATTATAACCGCGAGAACGATTCCTGACCAATGGCAGACACAGGAATGCGTCCTTAGCCAAAACAAAATCAGCTGGTTGAATCTCGCCGGCTTTCGTTGGTTGTACTGTTGTTCCATGTTATTGCTTTATATTTTACTTTCGGATATTGTCACTTTCGTAGAATCAAGTAGAGTCCTGTACTTTCTTTAAAATGCTCTTCCAGAGTCATGTGTGATACTAAAGACGTTTGCAGGACTCTTGTTCGAGCCGTACTTGTGTATAAGGCAGAGGAGCTTTCAAACGCGCATTTCTGCCAGCTCATGAAACTGAATCAAGCGTGTCTCATATCCAACCTGACAGATCGATGGAAATCTCAGGAATGGCTTGTCCCGGACACCGGCGAAGTAAACGTACCTGTTCTTGAGGAGCTTTTTGGTGACTGCATTGTGCCTGTCGCGGATTGCCAGCGCAGTGAGTATGGCTCACAACTAAAACGAGACATGACTATGAAAGAATACATGCAATATTGGAGGACGTATCAACGGCCGCGAATCACTGAAGATGCTTGGGGATCGATCGAGCGAGACAATTGCTTGTATCTTAAGGATTGGCACATGCAACGAGACGTTCCACATTATTTGGCCTATGAGATACCTGAATATTTTGCTTCTGATTGGCTGAACGAGTACTGGCGTGAAAAGCGTGAGGGCCACGATGATTACCGGTTTGTGTATATCGGACCTCAAGGCTCATGGACACCACTTCATTGTGACGTGTTCGGCTCGTACTCGTGGTCTGGTAATGTTTGCGGTCAAAAACTCTGGTTATTACTTCCTCCCGGTGAGGAGCAATACTACTGCGATTGCACAGGTAAATTAGCTTGTGATTTGACCGAAATTGATCATCAACACTTCCCAAAAGCGCGAGAACATCAGTCAGAGTTTGGGGGACCGATTCGGATTAGGCAAAATCCGGGCGACGTTATCTTTGTGCCATCCGGATGGCACCATCAAGTGCTCAATGTCACGGATACGATATCCATCAATCATAACTGGTTCAACGCGCACAATTTGCATTTTATATTCGACAGGCTTTGCGCGGCGGAAGCGGAGGTAATGAACGAGTTAAGCTTCTTGCAGGGTGATGAAGATTTCGAGGCCCAAGTGGAGATCGTGTTGAGGGCTCATCATGGCATGAATAGACAGGACTTTAGGGAAATCCTAACATTTATCGCTGAAAAAAGAACGCAACAAGGACTAAACACCGCATCACCGGATTCCATTTTAGATCTAGAGTACAGTAGAGAATATCTGAAGGATGAGCCGCTGACAAAGAGTACCAGATCAACTACGTAATGGTAAGTTGAGGCGCGTCCAGGTATGTACAACATTACAAAAGCGTACATTTCACGGGATGCGTTAAAATTAGAAGGCCTTTGTGTGCCTGCATGTTGTTTTCAGCAAGATATTTAAAAATGTATTCGTTCCCATTGTTGCTTGGAACTATTTGTCTTTGAAAATGGGGTCGAAATCGAATTCTGTAAATGAAGTGGCCTTAATCGAGGCTTTAAGTGTAATAGTTTCTAGATACATGTCACTAATACAAGGGTGTTTTTCGAATTCAAACGATCTCTGGTTTCGCAAAGATGAGCGTACTTAATATACTCTAGGCCGCGTTAGTTCAATGGTGCACTTTAGGCTGCAAGGTAGTTACAGGTCTGCCTCGAGTATAACTAAATAACATTTGAATCATGGGCATGGAGACAACGATTGTAAAGTAGCAGTTTGAGGTCGGAGACGCCCGCTTACTAGAAACCACACGGGCAACCCAAGTATCACCTCGACCAATATTATAACTAAGTAAAGTGGCACTCTAAACCTTCTAACGAAACGCTTTGATATGATATCTAGTTTGAACTCGCCTTAACCGGAACGTGTCCAGCCTTCTTACGCAACTGGTGACTGGAGCTGAACGTATCCTCGATCACAGAAAGCCAGCTCCGTTTCTTATAAAATAATCGGCTACTGCCAGTCCCCTGAGGTTCTTTGAACGGACGCGTTATTCTTGTTGACAGCATGGTTCTAACCATCGCTCCACTGACGAATATCTAAACATTAGGAATAGCGACTCATGTCTTATCTTGGAAAATCACAAAACGATACGTTATCAGTTCAAAGGTTCGATCGGCATATTCCACGCAAACGAGGCTGAGTTTGTTCTCCATTACGGAGAAGGAGGAGCTGAAAACAAACGCTGGCTGGAGGCTATCTTAGCGACAGTAATCCGACAGCATGTATATTTTGGATTCAGTCGAAACATAGGGAGCTCTGCATCTTGTGACAACGTAGAAAGCGTTGTAAGATAAAGATAAGCCGACGGCTAACAACTACGATACACAAATAAAATACATATAAAAAAGTAAATTAAAGCAAACAAATCTTATTTTAAAAACGCTTCTTCGAAGGTATTTCCTGAACAATGGGTGCGATAAGTCGCTATGTGGGACCATTTTTGAAAAAAAAAAATTGATCTCATCGAGCTAATTATTTTTCCCTTTGACAATACATCTGTTATAAGATTGGATTGAACAAAGGGTTTGGGCCTTCCGAGTACGGGACTCTTGAGGCTGACAGCGCGATCATTTAGTCTCAGTCGTAGAGGTCCACAGATTTATTCGGTACCCGAATCATAATCCTTCTATAATTAAGCTTGTTTCCTTTTTCCGGTTTAGACATTGAGCAACAGCCGGTCGTGGTGCAGTAAAAAAAACTAAACATTTCTGTTCTTTGTAAATATGCGATTCTAATGTATATTAACAATTTAATTTACACAATAAAATTTAAATAGAAAAAACAATATCAAAACTGTAACTCCGCTAAGTTCGATATCTCGTAATGGAAACCGTTTTGTTCGAATATAATGGTGAACCACTTTACCATTTGCAGCCTTACCCACAGTGACCCTTAAATGTCTACCTAAGGCTTCGCAGGATCAAGAGTACCCGAATGGTGAATAACAGTTCAACTGTTTATTTTTATTCTCGTTAATAAAACATTCGACTTTTAGACCTGAAATATCTCCTGGGAAACGCGAAGTGTCTTGGTCATCACGAGCCCTCATTGTTCTCCATCCACCCAATATTTCTTGCCTGTTTCTGTGACAGCTGCTGTCTGTACTATCTAATTTCGTTGGCCTACTTTTGTTGTCATGGCTCAGCTGTGGCCTCATAAATAGACATAGTGTATTCACAACAGCGCCAAAGGATATTCACTGCAACTATGGTAAATGCGCTATGGCAGTCTCATATGCTTCACAAACATCATTGGGCAATGTATCGAAGCAACCGTTCAAGAAGAGTTTCAAATGCTCACACACATATATACACAGGCAGTAAATTGTTTCTTGAAGAACTATACAAGCTCGATTGTGTGTCAGTTCATTTTGTTCCATCGGTGGTATTAAATGCTGCTTGCAAATCATTTTGTTTTTAGCGATGTGTTATAAACTGACTGCTTTAAGTACCCCTTAATAATTGATTATTTTATATAGGAAGTAGCGTTTTCAGTTCCGACAAGCAAGCCACCGCTAAATGGTTACACTCCACGCTTTCGCACTGTATACCTAAGCTACGAAAGCATTTTTACTAATTGGTATCATTCTTCATCATAATTAGTTATAGACTATTTGCTAATTACATCTAGTATTTATGTTCTAAAAACGATGACAATGATAATAAATCAGCTTTTGTAGAAACAGACTCGCTTTCGTAGCAACCGCGTCGCATTAAACTAGTGTTTTCGGTTGTTAAATGAAGAGCTCGTGGTTCGAGTATTCGGGGTAGTCGCCCGTTCCTTAGCTGCAACCCCATAAACATTTGGCTTATCGAGGTTGATGAAAAAAATGCTAAATAACAAGTACATTAGGAACTAGATGACGAGCATAATATGTTACACAAAAAAATCAGATACAACCTTTGCAGGAAATACCTTGCCGAACGCTTAAAAACAACTGAAAAAGGATCTTCCCTTTCTTTTAGGGCACTAAACCGATTTCATTGGCATAAAATATAGTCATTAGTTAACTTAATTACCAAGCTTCTCTATATCATACAGGAAGCCTTGTTAACGAAGTGCATGACGAAGTACCATAGAAAGCCCTTCACTGGCTAATTGACGCCCTACAGATTTTGATTCTGTGCACCTTTTGTTAAAGGTGGCAGGTGGTGACGTATCCGTATATTCACAACTGAGCAGGAAGCTTTCAGCGAGAAGGTTTTATCGGTAAAAAAAGATAGAGATTGGTCAGCGCTAGATACCAATACAATGATTCCAGACCCGATCCTTTGTTTAAAAAAAAAAAACAATATGATCGTGATATTCATTTCCAAACGCACTTGACAGCTGTTTTTTTATAAGGACCAATCTGTGAGTTGTCGTCTCATCCCAAAGGAGATTTGTTGGTATTGATTCGAGAGGTAGCTGCAATTAACTTATCCGCCTCACCTTTTACTTGTATCTGCTATTATACAAGACAAAACAAAGTTACTGTTGAACTTGATGATAAAATATCCGACACGTTTCTATAGTAATCAATTAGCCTGTTTGAATCAAAGAAGTCATCGACGACTTATGAACTTGAGCACTAACACCGAACCAAGTATGGTTTGTTGTCTTCGAAAACGAGCATTTCCAAGCTTCATTTAAACTTCAACCCATTGATGCACGTCGTTGAAGCTATCTCTATGCATTGTCTTGACTAGAGGATAACAAATGCGTTTCAGTTTACTTCAATGAATGTACGTGCACACCGGTGATGAAAATATATCACCAAAACAACTAATTTATCTAACATCGACTGAAAACAAACGAAAAATTGCCCATGCATCATGCGAGCTTCTGCCGAAACGTCATCGCACTAAAGCTGACGTTGCCCTAAATTTATTCTTTTCCTCTTATTGTTTTAGAATAGTCGTATTATTATTATTAACATTTAATATGGCTCAACACAAAAAAGTACGAGTTTCTGATTCGTTGATGGCAAGTTTCCTTATACGTGTACTAATAGAGCTGCTTGAATATCGTTGCTGACCTTTTATTGATTGAATCCCGTAGTCGAAAGGATAAATTGAACACAATGAAGATTGGAAAAGAAGAATGGCTTGTCAGGATGAACAAATCCCTTTCCTTGTTTCTCCTTTCGCTCGTAGTAGCAAGCGTTAACCAAAGGGTGATGTATAGCTTTCACTTAATATTGAATCCGTTGATCGTAATTAAAGCGCAGCAAGCAAGTCGATGCGCAGGACGTGGTCGGTTTCTCGCGACGCGTCTTCTAGCATGCAATGGAAGCATGCCTTAGCAGAGTTGTCCTTTTGTCAACGAACGTGTCCCTTTTACTAGCCCGCCCCCAGTCTAGTGGTTCTTACCCGTCTGGACAAATAGGTTTGATAATAAATTCATTCAGTATGCATATAGGCCCGTTGAATCTGGAACGAAACGTATCCACTTCCATAGAAACACTCTTAGTTTTATAATATAAATAACACTAGATGTAAAAGTGATAATGAAATACATACCCATGATAGTGGCATATTCACATACCCACATAAAGACTCAATTAAAAATAGAAAACATATATATTAAATATGAGTGAGCAATAGACATGCAGAAACACCCTGCTATGGCCAAATTATGTTGGAAATTACCCTCGGCTGTTCAAGTTGCCAGAAAGTTTTCTTTGAATTAATTTCTACTCTACTCTACTATGAAGATATTTTAATTTTTAATTCCTAAATGCTGTCTGTCTAAAATAATGTGGGAAAGATGAGAAATCAATTACGTATGGGTCTCAAATTAAAAATGCGTGGCTAACGAATATATATTGTGGAGAAAACACTAAGAGTGGTCGACAATCCGTATTATAAAAAGCCTAATCCATCCACTCTTCACGTGTATGCATGAAAACTAAGATTCTCTTAAAATGCATTTCGTGTAAAAATTTTCTAGGCCAAGTGGATATCTTAATTCGCACGATGCCCTATACCTTAAACGTGGTTATCCCTGTCAGCTGTGTCATGTACCAATTTATAGTAATCGATATGTTTTGTGCTTGACCTCCGTCAGCTGCCAGGGGCTGGCTAATCAGATTGAACATCTCTCCTCCTTTTTGCGGTGGTTTTGCTTAGAACCACTGCTTTACCCTTCGTCCAGTATTTTCATGTTACGTCTTTGGTGGCCTCTTCTTCTTTCGTCGGGGGAGCACCGTCTATCCGGTAGACGTCACGGGCCTATGTGAGTTCGATAAAATACGCGAGTTGGTCTGAATGAGTACTTCTTTCGCTCATCGTTCAGGAGAAGGGTCTAAGAACCTTCTCAGCGACAAAAGCTAGGCCTTTTGTATGTTAGCGATGTGTTAAGTGGAAAAAGGTGAATCCCATGATTACCGGATGTTGTGATATTGGAAAGAAAACTGTTATGCTGGTACCAAACAAAAACTGTGTTATACTCGAGCGCCTTCAAGATATAGCATTTTAAGGCATACTAAAAGGGCTGTAGCTGAGATGTGATGGACTCTAGAGAGCGCTTCCTATTAAATGGTTGCGATAATTGAGTGCAGGTCGATTTCTGAATGTATCTGACGAGTGAGTCAACGGATGCTGTTCGTACTCAACAATTCAAATATCTTTAACCTTTTTTTGGACCTACTGTACAGGACTGCAATAGGAAACAGAGCGCTTGTGGGCATTTTCTGGCTGGTGAGAGACCATGGGGCTTTAGAAAAGCGAACTTTGTCTGCCGTCTCAAATATGGAAGCTGGAAGAAACGTCCAAAAACAGAGAATATCATTTTCGTGCAACAATGAAAGTGATAGTACCTGAATGAATACTAATACCGATCACTTTCTCACGAGTTGTGAGGTAAAATTTTATATTTATCTACTATAAAAAAAATTGTAGGCTTACTGAGCTTTAGAATTTAGCTTTATACCGTTTGCATAAATCTTATGAAAACTGGCAAAATTGTCTTCTGATTTCTATTAAGAGCAGAGAATATTATATGATTGATAACAAAAGTTCCCTGTTTCTACAGGAAGCTGTGATGGTCATAATCGCCTATGACCTAACGTCACCTAACGTCAGCCGAATCCGTTGTGGTTTCAACTATTAGTGATAGAAGCTACTACTGTCACAATCACTAATTGTTGCAGTTTTTTTTCCTAGTAGATTGTTTTATGAAACCTTTTCTTGCCCATGATAGTCGTTAGGCCTTGTCCTGTAGTCTACAAGCAACGCAGATATTTACTCTGTGACCGATAATAGAGTATATACGCGTATGACATGATGCCCGAACGAAACTACAATCTTCTCTCGAATATCAGCAAAAGACAACTGTTCAAACTGGAAATAAATGCATTGGTTTTTGCATGATTTGACGTTTTACATCAAGCAGATAAAAGCACGTTATCTAGTTGATTAGAGAAATTTGTTTATAAAAAAATATTGTAGCTTACTTGAATTCAGGTGGCAAACAGGTCGTAACATGTTGAAACACTGGGATCCTACAGGGGCTGTTTCGCGATAATTACCAGATATCGTACCCGAACGTGCGTTGAGAGATAAGATAGCGTTAATTTTAGTACGGCTTGATATATCCGGTTTGAAGTGAAGATGCTTTTTTGCTCAGCATATGGATGCTGTTTTTTTTTCATGTCTTTTATTACATGCCGTATGATAGAATAACTCAGCAAAAACATATGCCGTTTTTCTACATATATATACATAGGTATATATATGTCAGACACTTCTGTTCTTCTCTATTCTTACAATCACAATAATTACATAACAGACAACATATTGAATTTTAAATGTCTTTATAATGTCCCTTTGTAATAATAGCTTGCATTATAAACAATACTGTTACCAATAATTCGCCGCTTGAACCGTACACATGACAACGAATAGGCAATATTGCCACATGTTTTTTAAGTTCTCAGAATTATCATTTTAAGTATAAAATTAAAGACTTGTTCTCACTAAGAGTATTATCAAACTGGATCCTGCTGGACTTATTTAAGGTTTTTCCAACATACCTAAGAAACATCATATAAACAACCATACAAACATCTATAAGGCTTAATAACAATTATATCATATAATTACAATATTTTTCTTAATTTTTTATTTTAGTCATTTCGTACCTACCTGGTCATTATCTATGGTGATAACTTTTGTCTACGCTAAGACTACTACCGTTGTTGTATGCGTGTTAGTTAAAGGCTGGCACAAAAAAGCACTCACCCAGATTACGCAGTTTTTTGCTGTCAAGAATTTACCATAGAAACTTCCTATTTATCTCTCCTTGATCTTCACTCTAACCCGAGTTGGATAATGCTTATTCCGGCGATATCTGCGTAATTTACTATAATTCATGAGCGATAGCCAACAACGATGAGGTTTCGAGTGTGCGAAGCTTGAACTTTTGAGGAAAAGGTTTATGGAGCAAATAAATATAATTTAATTTTCATTGTCGAATTTTTCGCAGTCCTTTTCAGAATCGTAGGATTCTTCAGTCTTCTGAGGATCATTTTGATTCCTTCTGTGTATGTTGTGATGTCGATATTGTCAATGAGCGACATCTCAGGCTGCCTGTCAATGTAACTGATTGAATATATCGAATTCGACACAAACGGATAGGATCCTTCTGCAAAGTTACATTGGCTGAAACTGGACTGGTTTCTTAAAAATGTGTTGTTTGCTGCTGGTCGCTTTTGACATCACTCGGGCAGCTTGGCTGGTGCTTGGTAAGTGTTAAATGAAAATCTACCTAGACGTCGGCTTTGCGCAATCGCTTGGCCATACGACTTTTGCATTTTTGCTATAAAGAAAAGTCAACGACGGTACAACTAAACGAGGGCAGGTAGCCAGACCGACAAGACACGCAGTCAATCCTAGGTAAGGCTTGCATCGGAAGGAAACAAAGAAAAACCCGACCGTTTATGTAGTCATAGATAAAAAGAAAAGGTTTAACGGCAATCAGCTATATGGAGATAATTTCTGGCGGCATCAGTAACATCGATTCGATAACCGTCACTTCGTCAGATTTCATTGAAATAAGCATATGCGTCTTGATACGAGATAACTATACGTGCATGTCAGGATAAACAGGATTCTAAGTTCTGGTATAAGAACGCTAATTTATAATACTGAAAGTATTTTAGGCGTTTGTCTCATTTAACTCGGTTATTGAGAAGCTTTTGTTAACAAGATGATGGATTTCAAGATACAAGATTAAAATAAAGCACATAATTTTTTCAGTTATTGGCTTATTTTATGCTAAATGTGTTGCAGTGGTTATGTATATAACTTCTTCATAATAACGTCTTCACAACAACAAGCTACATTGAGGTCCATGTGTATATGATTGTTCATTTACTCAAGTTTATTTTATCAGACATGAATCAATCTCTAACGTGCCGAACAAATATAGCATTTGTGAGATTCGGCTATGCTACGGCCTGTAAACGAGCAGAATATATGCTGTTAAGGTATATTTGAATTTACACGGTATATGCCCTGACGCAAACTTACTTCCGACGAAAGTTAGATGGGCAGTTATACTGATTCTCCAAATTTAAAGCGTATAGAACTTAAATTTTCAGCTCAAAATTGTTTTCAAACCGAATTCAATACTTGCCGATCAGAGCGATCTTTTAACACTTACGCACAATCGGCCCTGAGGGGTGAAAGCTAAAACCTGCATTATGCTGGTTAGAATAGTTCTTGCAAGTAATGAAGAAAACATGCCTAATTTAGAAAAAATTTAAGAAACTCCCTTAATTATTTAAAAAACAATGGAAAAATTGAAGTTTAATCATTTGGTGAGGTCGCATAGATCGAAATACAATTAGTTACATAAAAACAACTAGAGAAAAGGCGTCCTTTCCGGTTGGTTAGCCTTTTTGTCCAATTCTAAAGGGATAAAGTACATTATGATCACCCTCCACTTCGATATTTCGCTCAGTCCCAAAACATTACTGATAGGATTTGCCGAAGCAGCTGAGACTGAAAATTAAATAACCATTGTTAAAGCCACGGTAATGGGGGGATTTTCTTTATCTGTTTAGACTTATGTAATTGGGAACTCTCTTGGTAATCTATCTAAAAATAAACACAAGCTAAGTAAGCGAGAATCTTTTATACGGACTATGAGAGAAAGTGCTAGCAAGCCAATGACTATGATATTTGACAGTCCAGTGGTATAGTCTAAATGGCTAAGTACTGAATGCGCTATCAGTGAAATGGTGACCTAACAGAAACCTATTTCCATTCCAAGTACGGAACGGTAGCCCGACCAAATTAAGTCTATCTGCATTGCTCTACGGGTATTACAATAGACGTGTGCAAAAGTCAAAACACGTTCTCTAACACTCGGCGACTCATTTAAGTTAGTTATCTAGTACAGGATATCGTACTCACCATGGTTGCTTGAGTCTCACTTGGTATGCTATGTCCAATGTACATTGTTTGCTAACTGAAGACCTGCGACGCATGGTCATAACTCAGTCAGCCAAGATACAGTGCTTAGAGCTGTGTCAGGAGCGGACGATCCAGTGCCCCTGTCGGGTACATACAGATGGGTACTACAATCGAAACAGCAGGGGCCAGTGAGTCGCCGTTAGACACATCATATCTCAATAAAAAAAAGACTAATTCTTCAATTCGAAGCGAGTCATGTACCGCTGTAAAAATCGTTGAAAGTAAATGTCTGGCATTATATATATATATATAGAAAATCACTTTCTCTTGCAGCCCACATCAAATGGGGATACATCTTTTTAGAGTTTTGTAAACGCAGTTTATGAGCAGGTTATAATCTTCATTAGCACGAGCAGGTGTTGGACACTTTGAAAAATGCCACTATTCATCAGAAGATGAATCACTCGTCTCGACATCCAAGCGATCATACTAAGCGTCTTCCGCGATTAATTTTTGGGCTCGTTATTTTCTAAGAGAAAAAACTCGGCGACATAGAAACAGTGAGGAAAGCCGACGACCCTCTCTGGCACTCTTGCCTTATTGTCGCGCAATCTCCTTTCCCTTTGACCCCAGTTTGAATAAAAAGCTAGATGCGCAGACTGTGAGCCAACATAGAACACTTTAATTTTTGTGAACGCGAAAAAGCAGGCCGCTAGTAATCGGACCCAATAGTTAATCCCACAAAAGCAAGTTAGTTATACTTCAACTGTTCAAGGTTTTCTTCGCCGTTGTTGTTAAGGTAGATTTCATATTCATTTGGACCATGAAGAACCTAACGCTGCAAAAGCTCATCGTGGAGCTCTATAAAGTGTTTGAAAGCGATTCAGTCAATATTGAGCAAGTAAAGCAGCTGATGTCCAGTTACCAGGGCGACCCGGCCGAGTGGAGCAAATATGCCAAATACGAACCTGGCAAGTACACCCGCAATCTCGTCAATGAGGGTAACGGCAAATTCAACCTAATGATCCTTTGCTGGAGCGGTTCGGTAAAGAGCTCCATTCACGACCATGCCGATGCTCACTGTTTTATGCGTTTGTTGGCGGGTGACCTCACGGAGGTGCGCTACGACTGGCCTCACGGTAAAGCAATGCAACTTCGTGATGAATCCACGATGTTGCCCGGCGACGTGTGCTACATCAACAACGAGATAGGTCTGCACCGCGTCGAGAACCGCGCTCCGGAAATCGCTGTTTCCTTACATCTTTATAGCCCTCCGTTTAGCACGTGCTATATGTTCGACGAAAACACCGGTAAGAAGGTAATTTCGAAGGTCACCTTCTGGAGCCGTTACGGAGAGCGCACGCCTATCATTCAGACTCGTGAGCCCTAGAAGTTTCCTTTGAGCTCAATTATCTCTTATCCGAGCGATGTCATTAGCAGTAACGGATAACCGGACAGCGTTTACTTATACATATATAACATATATATATATATATATATAATATAACAAGTATATATACAAATCTGCACTAACAAGCATCAGTCCCACTCAGTATGAAAGTTTTAAGCATTTGCTTGTGGAACTACAAAAAGATGTCCGGCCATTTACTGCCGATCTGCTTGCCCTCCTGCTTGCTCGTACAACGCGGGATCTTTCATCGCAAGCGTCTAAGGTGCCATGCAGTGCACCCCAACGTCTCTGCAGTAGCAGCAAGATGTTCCTGCTAATCAACCTCGTCACTGGAGGCCTATAAGGTCCACTGTAAATGTATCATATCTCACATTGACCTTTACAAAAGCTTTCGTGTATGTCCGAGGCCGGAACGGTACCGGTTCATAAATACTGTCAAATGTCATCTGTATGAACGCTCCTCGAGGTAGTGTCCCGCTGAAACTGAATACTTAAATGCCATCTATCCTGACGAAAGACAGTAGTCCCGTAAACCGACATAAAGCGCTTTGTATTATTTAAGCATAGGTTTGCATTGAATTCTCCAGTGTATATGTATATATATATATATATATACATACACATACACAGATTTGAATCCATTCTCTCTGAGGATGCGCTAAAGGCCAGAGAAAGCCGTAGATTTCAGTTCTATTTACGGAACATACCCTTGATTTCTACTTGGCGAATGGTTCTATTTTCAAACTAGGTAATTGTAAATAAAGCGAAGTAACGACAATAATAATAAACACTATGACTATGACTCTAGACGCGTATGTTCATTTAGGCTGATTAACTTATAGGCTGAAGTTTGTCAGACACGTTCTGGCACTAGTAGTCAAACAAAAGGGAACTAGCGACGGACTGCGTATAAAGCATTCATGAAGCTATAGAAGTTACGAATATTTAACTCGTGTCGCACTGCACAACACGATTCTGCTTCACTGATGCCTATCGAACATATAATTATACTTCACGACTTGTTTGCCCCTTTTGGTCATTCAGAGTGATGCACTGTGTGCTAATTGGCTTTATTATGCAGTTCAATGCGACAGCCAAAGCGAGTAATATATAAAATGCCCAATACGAAATGAGTAATAAGTGTTTATTATTGAATTAACCTTTGATGATGCTATTTAGTATGTCTTAAATACAGGACTATATTCAGCTTCTTTGAATGGATAAATTTGTTTTGTCACCAAAGGCAAATAAGAAAAATTGTGCTTTGCATAAGCAGCTAGTGCTATCAAACACGGGGATACATGTTTATTGCCTTTAGATAGACAGAAAACATCGGTAAAGCGGCGCAGCAACTACGGAGCCGTGAACGGCTTCAGAACGAGATATTCAGGCGTTGCATCGGTTATTTGTCACTCACAGGCAATATCCTTATAGCGCGTCTCTGTGACAGCGTAATGAGCAGCATGTTTGTCTGCCAAACTTAAAACCGCGTGGTGTTCTGGATTCAAGTTCTCGGAATCGAAGTAAACACACTTGGCTTCGTGGAGAGAGCTAGCCGTCTGAACTAACGCCTCGAGTAGCGCGCTTAAAACACAAACAAAGCATTAAACCATTACTTAGTCGGTCAAAATGAACACGAGCATCACATAACTTTACAATCTATCAGTCACATACATCGACGATTTATCGAACTTCTCACAACAGTCGTGTCCTTCTTCTCTTAGGCTGATCGCCCGATTCACTGTCAGAACTTTCTCAATAGACTCTTCTATATAATTCCTACACGTCTCGTGAGTATGTGCAAGCTACAGACAGAACGTCCACATCTAACGAATCTCGGCAGGATTGAACAATAGTCACCTTACGCCACTTTTGATTATCCTTGCCATCTGTTCGTTTGGCCCTCGTCTTGTTTGATCTAGGTGAATCAGCCGACAACTTCCCAGCAAAAATGATACCAGATTGGAATCTCACTTTCCAATTTCGTGTTGTTCCCCTGCGATCCAGAGATGATAGCAAATGACCACGGTGACATTACCCCACTGTGTATGTTGAGATTGGGGAAAAGTTGGTGACCGAAAAACCTTTAGCAAATAGGCGGCTACTGAAGCAACAAGCATCTAATCAGTGGCTAGCTAGGAAGAAAGCGTCACTTGATACGAAGAAGCTCTTTATTGACTTTTTTTCATATCTGACGTGCGGAGACGCATCCTGTTGTTTCAGGCCACGATGCGTTATGTACGGGCATATAATATTAGAGTATATTTTCTATTACCAAATATGCTTGCCATATATATATATACATGTATAATGATTATTGTTAATCGATGGGAATCGTTTGAGCTATTTCGGGGCTATCGTTCAGTCCTTATACGAAGACACCCTAAAAAAATGAACCGGTTAAACATTTTGGTGAGGAAACCCGCGCTACTACCCGTTGGATGTTTCTTAATTTGATCAGAGAATCAAATGCCTTTTACCGATTACTAAAACAGTTCAGTAGAATACGACCAGGTCGTAAACAGTTACCCATACAATCACAGTCAAATTATTCATCGTTGCCAAGTACTTTTATGCAATGCGTCGGCATATCACTAAAACGTCGTCTTTCTACAAGCTCGTCAGCCCTAGTTGTTATGAAGGTTGTGTGTACCTAATCTTTTATGTCCCACTTAACGTTGAGTGGCGAGACAGTCGTGAGACACTTGCTTGTTGATAACACGTAAGTCATCGTTAGAGCGGTGATGTTATCTATTGGAAACCGGTGACGCCGGCGACAGTGATACCGCCAGAATAAATATACTCGAGGAGACCTAGATGTTCCGCCATGGTAAACATAACACAGGTGTCACGCTAGACTTCACGGTTCCGCAAAGATTTCCTCGATTTCGGGTAACCCTCCACCGTTTTTACTATAGCAAAACGAACAAGTGCGCAAAGCGCGATACGAAGCCACAGCCTACAGGGAAAAACGAACAAAGGTCAGCACTGATCGACATGCGTCCATTTATTTGACTGTATCTGATTTCTCACGGAACTAAACAAAAACGCATTTGTGGCTATTTATGTTGTTGAAAACTTTTAGAATCTATATAGGTACACAAGCCAGTATTGGCTCTGTTGCCGCTAACATCGACTGACACAGTTATCGGCGTATTTACTAAGTGATGCTGATACATTTAATGCCTTATCGCACCGCAGTACTGATACGGAGAACATGAGATACATAACCGTTTCTGAAGACATTGTGTAAATACCCTGTCTGGTTATACAACTTTGATTAAACAACTTATATGAACTTATAAACAGTTGTTTATTGTAGATTTTGCAAGGTGCTAAGGAAGCTAGTAGCGTGCAATGTTCACTATGTTCTTATTGGCATAGTGGGGGGTACCCGATCATTCCTGAGGATGCTTAGGTACAGTGAGTCATTCTGCAACTTCGGTCAGGCGATTTCAGGTGATATAGCGAAGCGGCTAAACAGGTGAGAAGTTTACACTTCTATCTATTTCGCAGAACAACAAAGATACGCATTGATTCCCAGTATTCTTTGTCATGGACAAAACATTTTAAACAGAAAAAACTTTACTTGCTCTCGTTTCGGCCTACTGAACATGTGATAGAGAATCGGTCTGGATAGTTCATATGTACTAAAAAGAACTCCTAGCCAAGCTCTTTTATTGTTAGCCTCGTGTTGATATCAAAATAATTCCGTCATGGACGGGAAAAGAAGAGGTATATTGATAGGGCTAATGATATTCTAATGGAAAATTCACCAAAAAAATATACTACTTGTGGTAGATAGTGTTTTATAGCTAGTGCTTTCTGGACCATAAATATCTGGAAGAATTAATAACAGCCCTGAAGTTGTATTATTCAAATCATGTCTAAATCGAAAGCAGCGACCGGCACTAGTGTTAAGCGTTTTTTCAGACGGTCGGCTCCCAGGACGAAAGGAAGTGCGTCTACGTCTAGATACGTAGGGATACGATAGATCTACGTATCCCTAAAATTTGCACGCGAACGCGTTAATTGCTAGGTTATTACAGAGGTACGCGTTTGAACTACTGGTATCCCTTTGACATCACAGAATATTATAACGCTTTCATTGAACCTCTATAGTAGCACTTACAAGAGCATTACTCTAAGCCATTCGAGATTATAAAACAAAGCAAAATTGACTTCGAACTCTTAAGCATACAATTCTTAGTATTTACGGCCTATTCAAGGACCAAGCTTTGATTAATGTCTTCGAATGGTCGCCTTTGAGTCGGATTTTTAACTGCATAAAATATATAATATTTTTTTTGGATATAATAAGAGGCAATATTTAGTTATCCTTAGAGATAAAACTGTTTCCACTTACTGCGGCCTAAAGAAGGTAGCAGAAATAGCGTGAAATTATTAATCATGATCTCGGCGAATTTCGGCGAAAAAATTCAAAAACTATTATCTGAAATTGAAATTTTAACGTGGAGAACAAATGTACCTAAATAAGGAGCATAAGGAGAAGAATGAACTTATATTTTACAACAGATAAAGAGTAGCTAAAAAAAGAGAAAAAAAAATATCATTCTTAGATCCCATAATGGAGCTCGAAACTCTATTGTTCACGTCGAGATTTCGTAATTACAGCTTTTTAATTGGTAAAAACACCACAAGTATTTGCAACTAAAAATGAAAAAAAAATTATCTTTTGAGTTTAATTTGATCGAAAATTGATAGAAAAACTTTTTTCAATGGCAAATATTTTCCATTACAACGTATTGTTTTAAACTTGAACTGACCATGAAACGTTGCTTTTGTTCAATTCCAGATCCGAGACAAATATTTTTACAGATATTAATTACTTGTTTAAAACCTTCGATAATTATGTGCGTGCCTATCTCCGAACTGCTGTAAATGAGAAAGAAGCGAAGATATCAATCGGTTTATGCCCAAAAAGTATAGTAACGTAGGGTCGAGGAAAACCAACTAATGAATATGTTGACAGTTGGCTAATACCCAAGGTCATACTAGAGCGCCCTTGCACGTTTCGCGTTTTTTTTTCGACTGCCGCAAAGGTGGGTCGATTTTTATCTCATGCTTTTGCCTAGATGCGAACCACGTTTTTTTTTTTTAATTACCGACTGAGCGGAGTAACTCGTATTGAAGAAAAGCTTGGCTAAGCAGCAAGTTGTACAAAGGTGCTCCTTAGGTGCATAAATAAAAAGGCATTTAGGACGCATAGCTGTTTTGTCAGGTCTAAAAAAAGAAGACATTATATGGCTTACAAGTTCACTTACACTTTATCACAAACTCGTAAAGGAAGTATAATTATAAAGTAATATACGTCGCATTATAAAATGTTAATTAAAAAAAATTAATTATTATGCGTATGGGCCTGAGTCCAAAGGCTACACTGAATTATGATTAAGTAGGACTAAAATATTTTAATCGATCAAGAGTAACACTAAAACTGCTTAAATTCAACTATATGCCTCAACCAATAAACATAAATATATTATTGCATTTGAGCAATTTTGAGTGTTTCCTCAAGAAATTTTAACTTTAATAGAGCGTAGTTCAAGGTAGTATTTAAGATCTAGTTCAACTGTGTGATGGGGATTGCAGAACAACATTCGTTTACTGTGAAATTAACAACTTAACCACTAGCAAGTCGGTAGGCAGGTGATAATCCAGGTGAAATTTAAAATTGTAATGTAAATGGTGCGATTACAGGAACATATAGGGAAAATTAATTTACAATAAAAACTAAGCTGAATGTTGGTTTATACAGGGACACATTTTCCGACAGAGAGTTAGGCAGGAAACAGAATCCAAGATAGAAGACTGAGGGTAGAATCTCATGAAAAGATTGGTGCATCTTTAAGTCCTTTGCTTCACCTCCCAAACACGATATTATATAGAAATAAATATAAATAAGCATTTCACCACATTTGGATGGTCCGGAAGGTTCTCAACCTTCGCCTCATCTCACTCTGCTACAATTACTCGAACTGTTCGCTCATTAACATGATTATGCTTTTTGTCAAATCTTGGCGCAATACACCTATTTAAAAAAAGCACTTTTTATCTGCGTTGTCTCGGGAAAACTCGTTCTCTAAATGTATTTCGATTGTTCGTGGATTTCTGGATTTCTTCGTGGAAGATTCCGACTATCATAGTTTAATACAGACCCTTCACCAAAAAAAAAAAAACTAAAGTAACTCGAAAAAAAAAGCAAATAATAAAAACTAGATTTTTGTCTCTACAGGTTGGAAATAAAAAAAAGACAATCCATGAAACTGTATGGAATTGTCAGCTAAGACAAATCTACCTGGTCCTACCAATGATAGGTCCGGCACGTAAATTTATTTCGTAAAGCAATAATGCTATTCTAAGAACTCACTTTGAGAACATCCTTATATACATGTCGACCACAATATTAATATTCCTACCATATATTGATCTTTACGATTTTCTTCGTTTTGCATTGATGTATCTTCAATATCAGCAGATATTTGTAGAGCAGCATCAGCTGCGTTTCCCACAAGTAATTCGGTTCTAGCACAAGCGCGTTAAGTTTACAAGGAAACACAAAATGGTCATAATTTTCCACATATATGTCGCTTTCGCCATAGCATTTTTGTCCAGCTCTATATACATATTTTACTCGAATTAAGCTCAGAAGAAGCCACGTTGTTTGTAATGACGACAGAACTAATATAGGACATAATTATAGTCTCCTTAACAAATGACCCAACAATTACAACTATTGTCGGCTGTATTGAGTTTACTTTTTCGCATAGCTTAACTTAAGTATCCAAGTCATATGGCGTGCTTGCAAATTATTTAGATTCGTGAAAAGTTCCATTTATTATACGTTAGTGCTATAGTTCGTTATTAAGAATTATGTATTACATTGTATCACGCCTTCGAAGTATTTGATTGGAGGGAAATACGCGTTTATACAGATGCAATACAGCAGACAATGAATTCAACAACCTTTGTTCAGCGATCAGTTGTTGTTAGTAAGCCATGCCATCACCATCACTCTTTATCTACTTGAAGCATGTACTTCAACGCGAACAGCACACCTCTATTGATAATCATGCTCTTTATAATAGACTCGTGACATTTCGAGCAGATATCTATCGACTAAGCGTACTCTAATCAGCCGAAATAATTTATACTTATTTTTCTGCACACTATATTCAGAGAGTTTGCTCAACTACTATAGCGGATTCCTCAACTGTGTATCTATTTGTCTACCTAGCGAGTGGTAATATAAACGACACTGTATTCGCAGATACATTGTTAAGAGGTATCATCTGCGTGACGCTATAAAGCTACCGCAGAGATACTTAGGGCTTTAAAAGCAATCGAGGAAATCTTATATGCGTTTATAGCACTGTGTCCTCCCTCCTAGGACTCATCTGATGCTCCTCTGGTCTCAGAAAAACAGTGGTTATCGGCTTGGTGCTTTTTGGTCTAACAGAATGGCCTGCAGTTTCCTGTGGCTAACTAGCTCGACAGGACCTGTGCGGAAACGAATCATACACTCAGATCGACTTGCACTGTTAAACTGGCTGGCAATTTCGGTGCACCGAAGATAGGAAATCGGAATAGTTGTATTGCCCATACTTAGATAAAGACGACGAAATATATAAAAAGAAAAGTTAATAAGCTAGACAATAGCAACCGAGTTGAAATAGCTAATTCGAGAAGATAAAAGATAATGCTGAGTATACACTTGGTATCGATATTTCCAATGATGGCTGTAGAAGTCAGATAAATTTTGCTAGAAACCTTGTCAATCCAGATATTCGCGCAGATTACTGTCTAGTGTAGGCGTATGCAACCCTCTTGATAAGCAGACAAACTTTTGTGTCTGATTATGGCGTGACTAATTACAAGACTGTACAATCTGGGTGTTAGCCCTTACGTACTACTGATGAGTTGACGAAATTTAAATCCTTTACATTTAAATCGTGCAACGTCAGGATGTCGAAAAGATGCAATTCAGATGTCCTTGGGGTCGCTAATCGGTGCGCTAACACATGTTATATATATATATATATATATATATATAAGCAAATGATGTGAAATTACATGGAGTCGCGAATAAGTCAAAGAAGGGGACCTATTTATCTCAGTTCTCTATAATTTGACAAGGTCTTTAGATCTTAAACCCTAAATTAAACTCTAAATATAAACCGTAATACTACTATTTTATTCATAGTTACGTCGAATATGATTACCTTGTACAACCACTTCGTAAGTCGAAAAGGAAACGATATTATGAAGCCAGAGGCTACTAGAATCCTATTTAGGTTAAATGGGAATAAATAAGCAACATGTCGCAAGAGCACCTCGGTGACAAGTAAGCTAAATACAACCTTATTGACTTGAAGCATCGATATGGAAAAAAATAAGTATATAAATATGTAATGTGGATACGTCCACTATCATTTAAATGATCTTGATTTCGATTGACACACAGGATTTACGAAAAAAAACTTACACAACCGACCGCTATTATTGAACAGATAACTCAGATGATATACTTTGTCCTTCTGCCGCGATGGAGATAACTTTTATCGCAGGTGCGTTAGAGAGAATTCTATCTTAGTAATCCGGGCTAAATGAAACCACATCACCGCTAAGTAACAGAACGTCATTCTCTAATTCAGTTAGACTAGCAGAACCTTAAACATTCTCAATAGGTTCACTTGTTATTTCAGTATTCGACTGAGTCGAAATAAACCGGCGCTTTATTATCTGGCCCGATTTTCAGGATGGTTTACCAGTCGACGATGGCACTTATTTCTTGGGTAAATTTCATCTTTCCTTATTCGAGGGGGGTTCTTCAACAGGTTTGTTGTGATCATCGAGCTTTTTAACTTCGCTACATACCATAGAAAACAATAATAATTTCAAATGCAAGAAAAAAATCATACTGGTATTTGTTTTCTTCCAGCGTGTACCTATTGTAAAACAGTTCGAGGAAAGCCAAGTTGTTCATTTCGCAACACAGTAATAATAAGCATTCTGACAGGGGGGGTTGTATCAATTTGAAACGGTATTTCCGAAGAGGATTCAAATAGTTTAGACAAATAGCTTTAGAGATCAACTTCAAATGAAACTAATCTAGACCGTACACAATATATTGAATAGAGTTCGCCCCGAATTCATCACAAGAGCATATATATATATACGTGTACGTGTACGTGCGTGTGAATACATGAAGTCGTTACGCGCAGTACTAATATATCATGCCTTACCTAGTATTGCATTAGGAAATAAATAATCCGCGGCATAAAAAATATACCATGGTTTATCGTTCATTTTGTACCAGTCTTCTTCTAACGTCTCGCCATAGCTGTAGCTTGAGCGGGCGATGGGGCTCTTCTAGTGCAGCGTTTTTCTCACGCCGATTTTTCTATAAATGATGCTAGGGGACGTCATGAAAGCATATTAACATAACTTCCTCTTTAGCTAAGATAAAAAGATTTTTTACTTGGCATATTGTGCTGCCATCGATGACACGCATACTCCACAAGGTGTGCCCTTTTTTAGGGCAAAGTGATAGACTGTTATCCAAAAGTAATTTTTAATTTATTGCTAACTTAGGTTAGCAGTGTAGAAATAGTGCATAGATGCCATGTCTAAGGAGTTGCTTTGTCGTCCGTGTTTTGATTCAGCTGCCTCTGTCGGCTTCACTGGCGAAACGGCAAAGTTGTTGACTCCTTCTGAATGAAGTAGAATCACCTCAGAGAAAATATGACTGCTTTCTTTTTATTTCAAATTTAGCAGCGAACATGTCTATATTCATTTTATAAGCAAATCTATTTCTTATTTCAGTATTATATAATCTAATCGACAGAATCTGACCATAATATTGGATTGGTCACAATAGTGGTGGGATCCGCTGGCAGGCGACAACTTGAACTACTAATCAATATCCTCGTAGTCGTTATCCAGCGCACTACCGGTTCCCCTATATGGCTTGCATGGTCTACATGTGGTCATTGTGCTCCAATTTTCGACGGGAATGCATTCACACTTCAGACAGCGTTCCTCAAACGTCACGTCCTGGGCTATACGTCGGGAAAGAACGGTTCGCCATGCTCGAACTGTACTTCGACGCGGCGTTAGAAAATAACTTCCCCGAGATTCTTGGGCCAACGATGCGCATCGATCCTTTGGAGGACGCAACTGACTTCGAAGTTCTGGATTACCCTCGGACTCTCTCCGGTATGCATCTCTCGAGCTGAAAACAGTTGAACTATCTATGCCCAATATATCGAGGTGTTTTCGGGCGCTACCGCGCACCCGAATGTCGGTTTTGGAAATTAGGTGCAGAATGATTCCATTATCGAGCAGAGCTGCCCGTAAGTCCACAGAATCTGGAGCGGTCTCGTCAACGATTTCGCATGGGGCGCAGGTTAGCGCCGTAATAATTTTCGTTGCCGTTGGCCTGAATCTATACCCAATAATCGCTTGGCGGATGGCAAGGTAGATATCAGCTTCGTTCGTAGTACTAAAATTCATGCCTTGGAAGGCTAGTGGCAAATCTTTCGCAGGGAAAAATGTTTGACCATTTGCGGTTTGTGTGAAAGGCTCATCGATGTTTGTTGAGCGGCCGAACGACACGACGCCATACCTGTAATATGTTAGTTAATGTTTCAAGGTCACAACATTTGGAACGGGGGAACAAGCCCGAATATAAATGTAAAATATACAGGGTGAGATAAAAGTCTCTTGATTATTTGAAAAAAAAGTAATTTGACAGTTAAAGAGTCTTTTTGAAATACATGCTCTCATAAGTCCACTCTTTATTGCAACGATGTGCATATCTCCTGCGACTTTGACAGATGTAATATGGGGATTCTTCAGTTGTCAAGTGACCTTTACCCCCCCCCCCCCCCGTATAAACATACAACCCACAACTTTTTCTTGGTAAAGAGCTACTTCAGACAACCCACTACACATAGACTGTGATATTCATGCACCTCCAATATCGCCTAGCAGTCTCTACCTAATAGCGAGTAATGTTTGCAATATGTACCTATTCTGTCTGATGTCCCTATTGGCGAGTTCCCTTTCGAGGCTTTTGACGAGGGCGGGGACGTGGCCGGCAACGTAGGAATTGCACCGATTCTCCTGGACCACGAACACAATATCAGCGGAATCGCCAGTCTCAAGGTCCACAATTGAACTGCTCCCTACCTCGAACTCTCCATGTTCACCGGCAGCTACCGGGAGCTCGCACGTGACTGCAAGCGGTCCCGCATCACTTCGGGAGGTTACTATACAACGTGGTACCCGTTCTTTTTTGATAGCCATATAGGATATACCAAACTAGAAATAATATATTTCTCATTCCCTCAATTAAATTGTTTATCTCAATCCAGCATTAACCTAGCTGGATTGAAGCGAGTTAGACAAATATTCCACGGCTTCGGTAAATTCGACTTTGTAGTCTAAGCAATTACCACTAAATTGCGCTACTCCGGAAAACAACACACAAATTAAGTACAAAAACGAAATTTTTATTGACATGTTTGTTTGACTTCGGTCATGCCTGCTGCTTTTTCTTCTTCCTCTTCTATTGACACTTAAGAAATATAAACACATGTTGGAGAGATGCTGCCTCTGAGTACTGCAATAGTACCGTCTGCATTCAATATTTACTAGTTACTTAGCTTGTTGTTGCCGTGTAAGCCCCGTTGGTTTCGCTGCAGCGTTGGCTTGGCCGGTTTTTGTCAGCGTCAAACCTACAGCGTGTTGCATTGGGCAGTGAGAGATGAAACTTGAAACTGGTGTTTACTTACGACACTCGTTGGGCAGACGGGTGCCCAGGTAGCCGGGAAGATCCCCGTATCGCTCGACGTCGAGCAGGTATGCGTGCGCCACTCGGCAGACGGCCTCAACCTTGTGGGTGGCCGCATACGCAACTCTCATGCAGAGATCGTAATACTGGTCAGCACTGCGTAGTAGGAAGCCGAACGACATAGGCGAGTAGTCGCTCTTGAACATATTGTCACAAAGCTCGGTAGACTCAACGTCTTCGGAGCGCTCACGGAACAGCAGCGTCTTTGAACCACAACCCTGGGCTGTCTCCCAGCTCCTCAGGAAGTGTTGCTCATTTTCGATCTGGTCGCCAGACGGCGACGTGAAATCGTCCTCTGGTTCACGGTTGTAGTTACCAAGAAGGCCGGCCGTTTTGCCGAAGTACCAGACGCGGAGGTCAAGTGTGGCGGTCTTACGTGACAGGAATACAGTGAACCGGAGCGTGCGGGCATCCTTGATGACAATTTTGTCGAAGATTCGCGACACGAAGATATCACCAAATCGGTAAAATGGCAGGTCTATGGGTTGGCCGTTAACGGTTACTGTCTGTTGGGCAGTGTTGACCTCGAAGAACTGCTTGTCGATCTGGACAACGTATGCAAGTTCATTTCCGGTTTTCATAACGACACTGAAGTTGCCATCGACGAAGTCACGCGCCAGCAAATACGAGCATTCACCAGCTGCCGAATAGTGTTTGCCGTCAAATGTAATAAAGTGCTTGCCATCGATGACAGTTGCGTGGCCGTCGTAGATTCGGGTCAGTGAGTTCGTGATCATGTCGACAGCGGACTCTTTCTTCTCATCACGGGCAGGCCTAACACCGTATGCCCAGTACTGGAGAATCTGGCTGGCATCTACAGGCACGTCAACGTCAGCCACGAAGCGCCCAGCCTTGCGGTCGAATTCGATAATCGGCGCGTGCGTCTTCCAGCTCTCTACACGAGGCTGGATAATGTACGTGCTAATGGCCTCACGGGGTAGCATGTGACCAACAGAGCTCTGGAAATATGTAGATTAAAACAAATACACTTCAGGTGAGACCTTATTACCAAAATGATCTTAGAAACAGCAACTTTTTTTGTGTTTCCATAACGAAGCATATGATTTCAAAATGGAGCTGATATTGGAATTTGAAGTGCGGAATTCAGGGATATTATATGATAGTTACAAACGTGTACCTACAGAATCGTACAGCTCTGCCCAGGTATCAGCGATTTGTTTGATGTCCGGAAGCTCGAGGAAAGTATCCCTAGCTTTGACGAACAGATGGTAGACTTGATTCAATGCGGAGTTGACAGCGTTGCAAGCTCCCTCGTACACACTTCGGGCAGCCCGAACGACAGCGGTCTGCTCAGCCCAGTCCATAAACATTTCGACGCGGTTGGCAAGGTACATCACGAAATTCACTTTCTCGTCCTCGACCGATCGTCGGCTCCTCTTTGGAAACACTTGCTCTAGTTTCTGACCAACGATCTCATCCAGCTTCGGGCAGCACTTCCTAAGCACAGTTCGTAGTTTCTCTATGATTTCAAGAATCTTCTCACGGTTAGCCTCGAGATGCTGCTTTAGTCTTTGGCCAACGGTCGTATTGTTGATGAGGTGGCTTAGACAGTTCTGAATATCAACGAAGATATGCGTCACCTTGTTAATAAGGTACTGGCCCATGTCCTCGAAAATTTTTCTCAGTTTGAAACAAAAAGCATCTTTACGCATCTTAAACTCTTCTTTCATATCCTCAAGCGCATAGCTGTGTGCGCGCGACGCGGCCATGTCCTTTGCTTGTTGGGCAACTTGTTGAATATACTCCGGTGGGAAGAAGACTCGGCTGTGGAAGGCCTACATAAAGCAAAGATCCGATTTGTTTAAGACTACTGTTGACAAGAGCGTGCAGGTGACACAGCAGTTATCTACCCACTTATGAGTTATCTCAAAATCTTAAAAGACGACATTATTGATAATCTTTTTCACTAGCAATAATTAGGTAAATTATTTAGGATTACAGGTGACCCTATTTCAAAGCTCAAATAAGCTTATGAAGTTACTTACAGTTTCACTGGTTCTGGTGTGCTCAATGCCAAGGTCGGTTGTCTTTTTGCCCTCAGGGAAGCTGCTGAGCATGATCTTGTAACGTCCCTTCTCTCTGCGGCCTCCGTCAATTTCAATCTCACGCTTTTCGGTGCCAGCAGCGTCAAAAATAATGCCCCTCATGTACGCCTTTTGAAGATTGTACGAAATCTTGCCCTTGGTCTCCACGCCGTTCTTGAGGTGAACAATCTCAGCTTCCTTGTCCCCGTCGTCATTAAGGATTTTAGCTTGGCCTGTAATTTTAAAGTTTTCCTGATATGGCGATTGGAAATCGATGTAACCCTTAAGGTCCTCACCAAGGTAGGCCTTCATATGGCCAACGCGCTCTTCTTTCTTTGCGGTGATATAGCGCCAGTAGTAACCAGCAAATACAGGTTTTTGCAGATCCTGGCTTCTATATAGCGTTATGTGCAGGTCGAAATCATCCTTATCCTGTTTGTAGATATGGAGGTGAAGCGATCGGTTGCGTGGAGTCTCATCATTGAGCCGACGCTCATAGTGAAGGAAGATAGTCTCCTCGGGAGCATACCACTGAAATTCGCTCTCGACACGAATAATCGAGTTGGGATCTTCGTTTTGAAGAACCTTAGACTTCAGCTCAATCGGCTACAAAACAATGGCAAAAATGTTAAACCTTAGCAAAATACGAGGACACCCACCAAAGCTCAGCGAAGACAAGTCAAGTAAGCTTCTGCTAAGTTTAGTATAGGGCTCTATTGCACGTCTGTATATACATATATATTGTTCTTTTTTTTTGATAAAGTACTCATCGAAATATATTATGTTATACAAAACGCAATTCATTTAGCCAATACCCAAATACACACCGTTCGCATTTTGGGGTGGCTGAGCTTAGCATTGCTAGTATAGCCACCTTTGTCATTGTACTCCCGGCGGTAGTGAAGATCGAATTTCTCGTCATTCTTGGCATCGAAGGCAGCGGTGTACCTGATATCAATCAGTTTGTCGGTCTGCTCCCTACGTCGGGTGGCGAGAAGTTCGCGTTCAATCACGAATCCTCGGAGAGATTGCTCGCTAATGGCAGGCGTAGAGTGATCACAGTTATACTCGACGCCAAGCTTACACTGGTTGATAGCTCCGACTAGGCGCAGCTTAGCCTTGTGAGTGTGGTGTGGGATAATGGTCTTGAAATCAACCTCAAACGTTACATCGGGTTTCCGGTGGATTTTGATGTTCAACTCGTTATTGCGGAAGAGGTCAATGTCGAGGTTACGCTTAACCGTGATCCCGACACAGTTGGCATCGAGTGGAGTACGACACACGTTGACGGAAGTGATCTTAAATCCGTCGACCTGCTGAGTCTCTGCATCAGCCTTTAATTCGTGATCGTTTCTTTTGATGTTAAGCTTGTAAGTGAGATGATTATCGCCTGCCAACGTGTTCCTCTCGAAGTCTAGTTCTAACTCCCCGCGCGGCCCGCTCGATTTCGCCAAGAACGTAATCTTGTCACCAGTGTCAGCGTATTCGGAGTGGGATGTCATATAATCCGCGCTGCCGTCCTTAGTGATGCTCATGTCGCTAACAAACTTCTTCTCATCTCCAGTACGCTTTAGAGTGACGATGTACGATGGGGTCCATTTTGAACTGAACTTCAAAGTTCCACTGCGCTCATAATAGCTTGTGCCGGCGATCTTAAGGTCCAGTTCGAGAACCTTGTCACTTTCGGTTTCGATGGTCAATTCAACGTCAACATTGTTGAAATCGGTCAAATCATACTTCAGGTGCGCCTTGCCCTCTTTCAGCTCGTCGTTGTCGGTCTTAATCAAAATCTGGAGGTCTGCGAGGCGCGGTTTAGGTCGGGTTCCAGTGATTGCGAGGTTATAGTTACGGCCGCTTCCTGCGAGGAAGTTTACGGCAATATCAACCTTGCCGTCAATAATTGTTCCCTTAACGATCAGTTCTTGGGAGGCAAAATTCTCATAGGGAAGTTTAAGAGTAACTTTCAGATCAATAATGCCCTTACTGTAGTCAGTTTTGCGGTCTGCGACCAACTGGTACAGTTTACCATCGCGGTCCAACTCGATCGTGAGGACATTGCTCGCAAGGTCGCGCGTGACCTGCAGCTTGCGGTTAATGACGCCAGTGACTATAAGGTAAAAATTGCGCTGAGCCTCAGTGAATTCATGCCCGATTTTGCCGTCAATAACCGCCTTGCCTCCACGAGAGAATATAAGATAGCCTTCACCTTTAGGTTGAGTGTGAACGTGACCAATGACTAGCTGATGAGTCTCAATCTTGGGGCCACTAAGCTGGAACTCGGCACGATTAGGCCCTTTGATGAAGCCCTTCGCATACACGCCGTTATAGCTGAAGTTGATAAAGTAAGCAATATCAATCTTAAGGTCAGTTTTGACTCCGTCTTCACGGTCGGTGTTGAGAACAATACTCAGCTTTTTGTCGGGATTAGCCACAGCGTCCCACAGCAAGGTAACACTTAGCTTATGCGTCTTCTCTGAAAAGAAAGTTATATAAAGTACGGAACAATAGCGCATATTATTATTATTTAATCGATTGGTAATTTACGCTTATATGTAGAACTAATTGATTTCAAAATGGAGTAAGCATGCCGTACAAATGTGTTTCTACTTACTTCCAGGGGAATCCTTGTGGACTACCAGGCTGATAGGGCGGGTGTAGACAATTTTGGACATGATGTCGAGCTTAGCATCGACAGCTTTGCCTTTTACGACACGATTGTAGTTGATTTTAATCTTCTGTCCGATGAAGTTGAATGCCAATGACTGATCTTCTTGCTTAACTTCGAAAACAATGTACTCTTTGCCATCGATCATAGTTTCGGTCTGTAAGGTTAGATCTCGGGCAATTCGGATCAAGTGGCGGTGTTGGATAGGCTTCATTCCGGGAGCACGAAGCTGCAACGAAAGCTCGTGGTTTCCGTTGGACATGATCTCGGTGGTGTAATTAAGCGTGAGCTTTTTACCTTCGTTGCCCCACTCGATATCAGTACCACCTTTGTACTTGCCCTTGGCGATTTCCTCCGAATTGTCGTTGAAAACTAGACGCGTCTGAGGAGCAACTAGAGATACGCGGATGTTTGTCTTTGGTGTTTGGCGGTCGAAGAGGAAGTCGAACTTCACTAAGGTCTCACCGTGCGACATCACGAACAGTTCTGAGGTGATGCGAGGGTTTTGCTGTAGGTCGAATTTGTTATTGTACTTTGCTTCCCAATTAAAACCGAATGCCGGAGAGTAGGCTTGAGCGAAAAGCTGTACCGTGCTAGTGAGCCCGAATCCAAAGTCACCTTTTTTCTTGACGTCGAAGTTGAGTTTCAGCGTCTTACTCTCATCGCGGAACTGATCGCCCCACCAGACCTGCATCTTGTGTCTGCGACTTTCTCTACCGCGGAGCACATCAAACGTGGCCTTATTGTTGTAATCAGGATGGCAGGTGGAGGTCCAGGTGGAGACACCATTATAGTGGTATCCGCGCTCAGTATCAGCCCCCTTGATCTTCAGTTCGTATGAGGCTTTCTCCGTTCTCTTGCCCTCAAGAGTGTACTCAAGGTTGAATGCGCCATGAATATGATCTCCATTGTTGACGAAAATCATTTTTGTAGACGCATCTACACCCTTCACCGCCAGACTACCTTCTGCTATATATCCAGGATTGGTTTTTCCAATTTCGGCTTTAATGCGAAGTGGCTTATCGAGGGGATAGTTGCTTGTGATCTCTATGGAGTTAGAGACTTGAGCAAAATCTAGAGTTGCCGGTTCGCTAAGATATGGGCACTTCGCCACTAAGTGGAGACCTCCAGGATCTTTGAAGGAGGCCACGAGTGAGTACACATCGATTTTATTAGTCTGCTTGTCCTTAACAGTTGCGACAAAGCGAGGATTTCCAACCCCGTTCATTCCAGGATAAGCGGCTTCGATGCGGACATGTCTTTTAGGGCACTGAGCGATCATCTGTAAGCCAGTTTCATCAGCTGGCATCTTTTGGATGAGAAACTCGCGCTTACGGTCAACGGCAGACCCAGGAGTGTCGAAAGTGACCGAGAACTTATCTGAGGTCTTGATTATCTTGAACTCTATGCCCTCCATCATCTTGTCAGTCTTCTCAATGGTGACAGCCAAATCGAATGGTTTGACAAATCCGCGTCGTGCGATATACCAAGGCTTGGGAACCTTTCCAGCCATGCAAACCTTCATTCCAATGACCTCGGGTAGCTGAATGGTGCAGCCATTAAGCGTGCGAGTTGTACCAGGCTCAACGAGGCTTTCATAATCGCCATGAATTACGAAGACTTCAGAGCGTGCATTTAAAAGTTCAATTTTATCACGAGGAGTGTTAAAGCGGAACCTGAATTCACTGTCAGACCTAACAATCAGTACGTCAATGACGGATGAAGTATGAACGGTGGAAGCAAAACGGGCTCCGTGACGGAATACGCCGGCATCGAGGGTCAGTGAAGCGTCGATTTCAACAACAGCACTGGGTTCAAGGGTTGCCTTCATCTCCTTGTTGTCAGTTGACACTGGGGCAGAAGCCTTAATGACGACATTGGAAACAGCGCGCAGGTCTGCGGCAAGGCCTACACCAGAGATGGTGGCACCGGTCACACGGTTATCGACAAGGATGACATTTTTAGCCACATCAATCTCACCTTTGAGCACAATTTCGTTTAGAAGGTTCGAAGGGTGGTAGCTAGCAATGTTGATGGCAGAAGTTAGCATGGATGTGGCAAAATCCTTCATCGACTCAAACTCAATAAAGTCAATTTCATTGCCATATACATTAATGTAGAAGGCCATCTTCTGTCCGGACTTTTTCACCTTGAAGTCATTGTCGAACAGCTTGACGTTAGTGTCTTCAGCGGTGGCTCGCCTCAGGCGAGACAGTTCAGACGTGATCGTTTTGCCGAGTTCGGTACGTGGGCCCATCAACTGCTCCAAAGTATCCTCAAGACCCTCAACACGACCTCCAAGCTGAAAAAATCAAGGAATTTTCCATAGTTATATGCATGTATATACTTGCTGCGTAATATAATTCAACTATAGTAAGCCTATCTCGAAACCTAATATCACTTTATGTCAGCACGCAAGTCGAAAGCCAATTCTATGATCTCATTTCTTTTTTTAACACGCAAATTACCTCAAGGAGGTTGAACGAGTTCGAGAAGATGTCAACAGTAAGGTTCAATACGGCGGAACGTGGAAGGAAAGATTTTGGCGAGAAGATAATTGATGTATCGGCAGTTGCTCCAACATTGACGAAATCGTAGAATTTCGAGAACTCGTAATGCTGTGAGAACATAGTAGGATCTTTCGAGAACTTTGACGAGATCGGGAACGAAGCAATGAGCTGTTTCAAGGCAGCTTTGAGTGGACACTCCGAATCAAGCACGTTCTTCATGTGCGAGTAAACGAAGGAGCCGACTGCAATAGGACAAAAAGGAACATTTAATCAGTTAACGGTGGAAATAAAATGGGTGCTAGGACGATCTTTACAACTGGACATCTTATAAAGGACTAAGATTATGTTTTATTAAAAATCTAAGATCATCAGTGTATAATACCAACTACAGATAATTGGTGATAGTTGGTGATTTTATTATTTATTCATTTTAAATACATTTTCCTAGCGAACCAACACGTTAGTTCTTGTTTTTACCTAGAATGAACTAATGGATATTTACTGATTTATTTTCATTTTTACTCGCTAAACGGTTGCCTCATTTACCTTGCTGGGTCTTCTCGCTTTCATAGACTTTGACAATCTTGCTCATCACGTCAAAGTCAGCGCACCGTATGGCGTTCAGGTAGGCGGCAATTCTCACCTCAGAATCTTCAGCTTGATCCGAGTAGATGGTCACCATTTTATTGGTTAGTTCGGCTTTACACACTTTACGGAACGCTCCGAGGGTGTAAAGACGTACATCGGTAGCGTCCTTTTGCATGCATGCCATAATGGAGTCGGCATGTTCACCGATAAATCCCAAATTGCCGATAGCCTTTAGTGCAGCGACTACGTAGGCACGGTCAGCTGAGCAGCCGGACTGAAGTTTGTGAACGAGAGTGGTAAGCAAATGATGGATAGCTGGTGTGCGCTCACAGTCTTCGCCGTGAAGTTTGCAGAAGGTGTTGGCCATGGCAGCGACCGGGAGGAAGACACGTTTGGCCTTTGCGGTATCCGCCTTCCGGACGACTGGCACGAACGCCTCAATCATGTCCTCGGTAGGAGCAATAAGGTAGGCCAACGAAGCTAACCATTTCTGTTCGTGTTCTGGTTTTTCGCCGTTCTCAATGAATTGCGCCATCATTCGGACAGCTCCGGGAGTTCCCGCCATGCCGAGAACGTCAAGGAAAGCTTTCTTCAACCTATCCGTATCACATGCTTTGGAGTTAAGCATCTGGTAGACGCCAAGGATCTTTTCGAACGACGTGCTACGCATCGACTTGATGAGATCCTGGAATAGTTTGCCGGTCTCGGGGCGGACGTCTCCGCGCATAGCTTCGCAATAGCGGTTGACAGTCAGCACGAGAGAATCAGCTGAGTGCTCCTGAGCATAACGGTGGTCAAAAGTAAGAGACGACTTTCGGAAATCTTTGGACTGCACTTTGTGAGCTCCGTTCTCTTCGCGAAGCAGACTAATTGAAGATTCAGCAGAAACCGTCGAGATGACACCAGGTTTCGTTGATGATTGTTGGTCAAGGTACAATTTTTCTTTCTGTTGGCACTCGGCCTTGTTGAGTACGCCATTTTCCTTGCTAATGAATTGGTGGCAGATGTAAGTGCCGGACGATAACGGAATCGTACGGATATCCTGCAATAATAAGAACACGATTCAATCAAAGTAAATTAAATGTATATTGGGAAGTTTGTCATAAAAATTTTCCGATACAGTGTTAATATGAAGCATACAGTTAGTGTATTCTTGCTGTTGCATAAGACACTATATTATATTTAATTATATAAGTTTATGACTACGCCTTATTACGCTGAAAAAAAGTATTATACATTGTTGTTAAGTTAACCATACCAGAGAGTACTTATTGTTTTGCCATGGTCATAATGAAGACGTTCACATATTTAATTACGGCCGCATGAATAAACTACGCGCAGATATTTAAGTAGGTGCACTACATTCTGCATAATAACCTTTTGTTATCGAGCTGAAAATAGTGTATGACTAGAGGACGAAGGCTGAAGCATTTTTCGGGCCGTTCACCTAATAGCGGCTGCCAGTGCGTCACACTGTCCGATAAGCACCCCCATTGCACCTCCGCTCTCGTTTCTTACTGATTGACCGCTCACATCAATCATTTATTTAAACGACGTCTAAACCGCGCCGACAACAATAGACGTGAAATAAGCATTCTCGACACGTTTGTAGTATGCCTACTTTTATAGGTACGACACTTTAAACCGGCACCAATTCGGTCTCTGCTGTCGTCTTGACGCCTTGTCTGGCCTTTAGAATGTTGGACATGCGCCCGCGTTCTGATAGGAGGATAACGGCTGCCGGCGTTGGTTCATTGCAACGCTCAAGCACGTATATGTGGCGCTACTTTAATCGGCAGTAAGGACAAACAAACGGTGGGGAGTTGATACTTAACAAGACGAGAATCTGAGAAAGGGGAAATTTGTAGTATCTACGGTATCATGTCGCATGTCGTGTAGCAGCAAGCGATTGACTGATTGTTGCGATTTCGATTATCTCCTTCTTGATGCGGGTGCCTCACGGTCCAAGAGTCGGGTTACCGAATCTTCGTCTGAAAGCAACGCTGCTATAGTGACCAATCCCTCAGCGGTATCCTTGAGTTGAGGATCGTTACGGAACTGCTGGAGCCTTTTGCCGTCACGTGCACCCGACGGTATCCAGTATCTCGTTTCCTCTCCGAAATCGACAATATTTCTAGCTTTGTACAAGTGCCAGTTGGCGGCTGTTATAGCTGATGTCCAGCGATATTGGCTTGGAAGGTAGCCATTTGGCAAACCGCGAGTGCGACACTGCCGTCATATGACAGCTGAACTATCACTATTTTGGACTTGCGTTGAGTTTCCGTGTTTGTTTTACATTTCATCAATTGGCACGCGCCAAATTAACATTCAACGATTTGTGCAAGTATTAGCGATGATTAGGAAGAGTGGTGACCTTCATCATGCTTACAACATTTAACGCCATGTCGACATTGTGTTAGAGAAAGTATTGAATCATTGCACGCCGCAGATTGTGTCCACAAGCTCAGCGAAAGGCTTGTGAGAAAAAAGTACATTGTGTACACAAATTTCTCCGCCTAATGTTGCGTGTCGCACCTAAACATTCAGTTGCTATACGCATATACGTAAGCTAAAAATGGAATGGTGTAGTATAAGACAGCCTATAATGATATTGTCACAGCTCGCGATTTATTCGTGATCGGCTGTCCAATTAAGCCGCCAATATATCGGAAGCACAGCGAGCGCCCCAGAATCGCCAGTCGGGAGCTCTAACACACAACATAGTGTTTCGTGCTGCAGCGTTCCTGCAGTGGGCCTTCCTGCTTGTATGCCAGCGGCACGAAGTGACAGCCAGTGCCACTTGTTTCTTTTTTGGTACCGAAGCCCTCGCATTTGGTATGGTATGCGCTGACTAAAGGAATCAGGCGGTCGCCTGTTCGCTCCTTTTGTGTCCTACCGCGACAACACCGAAACAGCAGTTCTTGTCGTCAAGGACACTCTCGACTTCGCATGAAGTTTCTTTCTTCTTTTTCTTCGTTTCTCGCTTTCTTGGGTGACATTGCTGCCTCCCGACCAATACATCCCACATTTTGACACTAGCAGCGGTCTGGCGTTCCCGCTCTTTGCATGATCTACTCCCGTACCGGTTGAAATCAGCCGCCGGGTACGCCAGCTCAGGAAGATACAGTTCAGATGCCGCTGCTGCCACCGCTGCAGAGGCACGAGAAACGCGGGAAAAAGCAGCCATCGGCAAGCGTAAAAAGTGAAATCAGTTGAACTGACTTCAGTCGGATTCTCGTCTGTGGTCGCCGGGCAGCGATGACTCTATGCCAATGGTAGCAGCAGCGACGACTACGACAAAAAAACGACGACGTACAAGGAGCAATAGGGCGAGCGAGAGAAATAGAGGGAGTGCGGGGCAGAGAGTTTCTCAGACGTAGCAGACAGACCGTAGCGGCGTAGAGCGCAAAAAAAAGAGAAAAACGAAGGAGAGAGTGTGCGTGTGGCACCGGCTAAAGTACGACGAAATCAATGGAAGAGGTCGTCGTGGCTGGCTGTGAGATATGGAGAGTGAAGCGCGAGCATTCGGAGGTTCAACACCCTCAACCTCCCGCCTAATCCCCATAGCGCCCAGCTTCGCCAGCGAGAAAAAGGATGTCCTCTAAAAAAGTCATTCATGCGTTTGTGCAAATGGCGTACTTCCGGTCGCCTGTCCGCTTGGTTGCTTTACTCTTCTCTGTTTCGTCCATTTCTTTACTGCGTCGCCTCGCCATCACCCCACGTACCCCCCGGGCTCGTACCCGAGCATCCGGTCGCTGCCTTTCTAAATTCTCTGTCTCTCTCGATTTGAGTCATGCTGCTCACCACTGCGTACCGCTCGCTTGAGCGTTCGGTTCTTTAGTTTCGTCAGTCGCTCGTTCATTCAGTCAGTCAGTACAACAGCGGCGGATTGTACATGTGACAACTTTTTCTTTTCTGATCTTCATTCCCGCGAGCGATATTGATCGAGGCGTTGTCAACTGCTACGAGGCGCAGAGTCTGGCTAAACATCCATGTCCCGGCCGACTTTGAGGACTGCTTGTCGCTCTAAGTTGTACGTCTGTCGGTTCCGGATTACGTTTAGCGACGTGTTTAGTTTTTGAGATTTTGTTTAAAGAGAAGCTACTGCTTCTATTAAACAATGACATGCTGAACTTACCGTTCCATACGTTTAGATACATCTATGTCACACTGGATTAAGTGGCAATCCAGCTATAGGCAAGGGAGCCTATAATTACCACGTAGTACTATTATTGTTTCTTGTGAAAGTTGCATATTTTCCAGGTACATAAATTTGATAGATAAAACGTGTCTTGTCTTCTCTATGCAAACTGTGTTGTTTTGCGCTGACTCGATTATCTCTAGCTTACGCCGTGATTCAAGGCTTTGGTGAAGATAAATATTAGGCAAACTTATGGCTCGAACGTACTAACAAACAACTCAGTCTTCTAATCGCTATCAAACCCCGCTGCACATATCGTATCGTATCATATAGTCGATGGCTGTTTGCGTTACTAGAGGCTCCTGACGTCCGAAAATTTGCTAACTGTCTATAATTGTTGAGCCGTGTACATCTCCCAGGTCACTGAGGGTGAGATTGAGTGCTTCGTAAGAAGCAACAGTAAATGTGCTAAGGAAGATCGAAGACGTCTATCTATTCTCATATTGAGTGTTGGCACAAATACGCTCGGAACGATAATCCGTTAATGGCTATCACGATCTACGTGAGGGGCAATCACGATCTACTATTTGTGCATCGGGTCATTGAATAAACAAGCTGTTCGCTGCAGCTGAAACTTCGCCAGAGTAAGATAGAATCGATAAATCGGAGCAAAAAAAACAGCGAAAAGTGATTTTTTGACCCCCAACAGTATATGTTCCAGCGTATATCATCTTAGCTTAGAGATTCATACCAGTGTACCAGGCGAAATAATCATTCGATAGTATCATATAATACGACTATGCTGTATTATGCTCAGTAGAATGTTGAACGTTGTTGAATGAAAACCATTGAAGTTTTTAAATACGGGTTGTTTTCGAATGGCAGTGACAAATAGCTGATTGCATAGTCGCCACCATCTGGACCAGCTACCTATGAGCCTCTAGTGGTACTGCTGGAAATAGCTGAGCTGATCAAGCTTATTTAATGCTTTACACGACGGCAGAAAGCTCATTTGGTACTATAGCTGATCTGTCTTGTATTCTATAGCACTTACCGAAGTTGGCGCGTTGTAAGGGGTAAAGAAGACGGCGCGATCGCTCTGGAAGCGTCCCTGGCAGGACAGAAGTTTTTTCGTTTTGGTGACTTTGGCAAACGAGTCCTCGCTTGGTTGTGCCGTGTAGGAAGTTTCGCATTCACCTAAAATATCACGCTCACTAACTTCGGCTGACGCTTCTCGTGCATCTAGGGGCGCCTGCAGCATGGATACAGCGGCTCGTTTGATGTTGACAGCCCACGCTGGCTCGGAAGGGTCGTATTTGATGCCAGTGACGATGCCATTGTCCATGTAAACCTACAGTGTAAGGAACAGATAAGCAATCATAGAGTCGCGTCCGATAATTATGCACCATTGAGATTGGTTTAATGTTTGAGCCGATAAATATCGCTAAATTTCGATAACTTAGGTGAAGTTAAGACAACAAACAACTGTTGTTGTTGTTGGTCGCCTAATTCAATATACTTATGAGAAAATGTGTTGCCGTTTTCATTGCGCACTAACGATACTTACTTAACTGAATGTCGTATTTATTTAATTCAGTGTTGAGAAGGTCGCTCAAAATTAGCGGGCAAAACCTTAGAAATCGATTTTCAGAAAAATGTCTGCCGATGGACTATTTACCACACCAGTGGGCGTATGCTTAAACGAAAACTAACTTGCGCATAACTTTTCAGCAGTATTGCAATATGTGTTTATGTGGGAACTTTGACAAGTTGCCAAGCCCATTTCAGCTAGCGTTAAGGACTAACCCTTTACCAAAGAGACGAAAAGTGTTCTCTGCCCTAATTTTATATATATATATATATATCGGTTCTGTTTAGACATTTGATATAATCCGGCTCTATCAAAGAACTTTCATACTCTAAACTTGCTTAATTCCTTCAACGAATCTGATAAAGTCCATCAGTTTTAAATATAGAGCTTTGACATTTTTGCTAAAGGAATCTACGTACCTCTATCGGATGCTTCTCAAGGGTCTCGACGAATTTCTGGTGCGGGGAAACAACCGATCGCATTCGTACGCCAAGCACACATGGAGCTGGTACCGAGACGATCACCTCAGAGGAGAAGCTAACTTCCTGGTTTACATCGTCATTCTCAATTTTGTTCAAGCCATTATACATGTAAACAAAAGTCTTGCCCACGGGCAGACTGTTCATGCATTGGTTCGGCTCCCTTGGTAGAACAGGACCTGTGAATGTTAAAATCGGAATAATGTAATAAGGCAGAATTCACAAAAGCACTTAGTAAAAACAATTAATAACTGGACATTAAGTCAGCGAAAGCCACGTGCAAGATAAACAGGTACGACAAGGACAGGAAAAATACAGAGACGAAACTGCACGAAGACACAAAAATGATCAGAGGCACCGATCGCCTCCTCATCCTGAATTTTGCAAATTGTACAAATTAGTCACAATGGCGCGCATTGCCTCTTCAAATCCGTAAGGCGAGCGATAAATAGGTCGGTATACCTTAATTGGTTGATTGCGCACACATAATCACTATATATTATCAACTTTTGGAGGCAGATCAGGCAGCAGAGATCACACAGCAGCAAAACCCCTTCTTCGTTCACGATGGATCCCTATTACTATACCATGATGGCAAACTCTGTAGTAAGGCCAGTGTGTGACGACAGCCTCGGTTCGGCAGACAACTGTTCAAAACTACGTTTTTCTATTTCTCTTGAAGTCCAAGTTCTGCTGATTTTCTCCTCAGATTGTTGTTGACTTACCGCAAAGTCCGAAGCCGAAGACGAGCACCAGGCCGCTCAAGCCCCCAATTATTATGCTTGGAGGTCCCATTGTGGTCACACACAATAGGTGTTCAACTCGGCGCGCGCCTTATGTACGCAGCTCCTCCTCGGCCTCCTCTCCAATGTCGAGCTGCGTATCGCTACCGACTCGTCGATTGCGTCAATTGCTGCTGCTACCGTTGTCGCCGTCAACGCTGCTGCCCGCGACGAGGACTCCTCTTGCAGCCCGGACGCCCGCCCGCCCGCTCAGCGTACTCCATCGTTTTCGTCTCTCTCCATAGCTACCGCCATGACCAGCGGTCATACCATATGCATCAAAGGCAAGAGCAAACAGCTAAGCGTCACCCGCGTAACGCTCCCCCTTTTGCTGAAATAGCTAGCGGAGGTAGATAGCAGGGTAGGCTCTTGACTAGTTGGATGGCCGTTGGCTTTCGGGTGTGGGTGAAGCTCCGCGCCGCTGAAACGCGGCAGACCATTGCACTTCTTACGCAGCGATCGGCGGGGACGCCACGAGTGAACGTGGTCAATGACTGGAGTTGACAGATCGCAGAGGTGGTCTTAGTGTCATACCGGCTGCTACTGTTGCTGGCCAGATACGACGGTGTTACCGCTGGTTCAGCTAGCTAGCGTACGTTTCTATCTTCTCAACAAGTATATGGTCCTTCATTGCATCGAAATTATGATTGCCTTGCCTCTTGTTAAGGCAATATTGACGCATTTGTAACGATTACAGTGGTAGTAGCATCATCAGGTATAGATAGGGGCACCACGGTCAGCGGGAGATGTCGGCCGCAAAAAAGATCTGTTCGAGAAGCGTCTAGAAGTGGTGCTCATAATTGGTGGTAGCGCTGTATTTAGCCGACCACGTCGAATGACCGAACGTTAACGCGCTGATCGTGCGGCTTTTGGTGATCTGAGACTAGCCGACAATGGGGTTAGGAGGTGGGAAAACAAAAGGAGAACAAACAGTATCTCGCATGGAATGACCAAGAACAAAGTAGCACGGTGGAATATTATTATTAATGCATGTGCAGCGGATTCCAAGTTGATCCTCGACGTCGCTAAAACGCCGATCGGGTTTTTGGGGGAAGTGGAAGAGGAGCTAGGTGCCTGTGTTGTATGATTGCGACAAAAATTATGGTCACTGCTAGAGAGGCGAATTGCGAAGGCCACAGCGACCGAAAAAAGGAAACTCAATTCCGCATGTAGCGTTTACTGTCTATCACTTGACGATTTTCTCTGCTGTGACAACGAGTAGATAGATTATCGGATTGAGTTACTTTCAGAGATGAAAGGCCTTAAACACAAACATGAATAGTAGGCCAACTATAATTAATGCACAGGTATTTCACCTTAGCGGTCCGGAAGGGACGAATAAATAGCAAGCCGCGGCACACAACGACATCTTTATTGTAAAGCAAACATTTCCCAGCTGCTGTAACATTCCTAGGCTCCTGATACGACATACGAAAACTGCACCCTTATGCCGAGTCTGTGAAGTAGCTTAAAAAAATGTTTCAGTCCATTCGCCGACTCAGCTGCTTGCCTTAGTTCAAATAGCTACAATATCTGACAGTATCCAAAAGGTGCGGAAGAGAAACAAACACAATGTCGACGTGTATAACTATAAAGCGATACGACTCATTTGATTGAATCACACAGTACCGTAACAACAGGCGGCAGTTTGTTCTACGTGGTACCCGTTAACGAATAGCCATCCATCTCATAGCACGCTCTTAAACCGAATGTTCCCGAAAGAAGCTGGCCAGCAATATTAGTTGATTCGTAGGCAGAAGAAATCAAGAATGATCTCGATTGCACCAGATTAGTTTGTGCGACGTACAACAAAGCATCGTAGCGTACCGCCGGCAAAAAGTACTAGCGACTGACTACACGTCCAAATAACCTGCGCCAAACAGACCGCATCGGCGCAAGATCCGCTGTTCACGATAATCAATGAAATACTAAAAAATAGGTGGGGGCAAAAAGTGAAGGAAAAACGTTTCGACGGTAAGCAACACGATGTCAAAGGGAGCACTTTTGATCTTCACCGATATTTGAGCGGTAAATTCGAAATTTTCCTTTCCTCGCTTAAAGCTTTAGTGCCATTGATGGGAAAACGACAGTGACGTACGTGTGTACATATATGGACGAATTCGTACAAATACCTATTTGCCTGCGTCACCGCGATGAGCCACTACGCGTCATAGGCCAAACTCCAACATTTGTCGATCTTACAAATGAGGAAAATCACTTTTGTCTGAAAGTAACGATAAATGTTTTATCAACAGGATGTTAAATGGTTGCCTGGAAGAAGCCGATTGCATCAATAATCAAGAGTGACCTTGAGAATCAAAACTAAAGATTTGTCACCGTTTTCAAAATAATTTGGTTCACCAACTTACCATTAGACGAGAACTGAGCGGTGTGGAAAGTATTTAACAGATTTACCAAAATTAGCCTATATAGAGATAGCCAAACATCGCATAAAATTCTGCTAAAAGCTATCTAAAAGTAATTTTCATCGTAAAGATAAGGTCAGCAACATCCTGAATAATTGTTATTGATATATATCTATGTATATACGAACGCTTTATCAAGCTTGACTTGCAATGGTTAAAAACGAAAAGGTACAGGAGGACTTTGTGCTCAGCTTCGAGCTATCTTGATTGTATTGCATTACGGTGGGACCCTTTTGAGTGCACTGCGTAGCATTTCTGTTATTTGATAGAACCACCAGTAAGGAGACAGGAAGCCCTCGCATTTACGATTAGAGGATGGCTAAAGAATTCGGTATAGAAAAATTTACAACAAAAGTTATCCGAGGCCGTTTGTCCAGACAAGGGGCTATCGTTAAGGTGAATTACATACATCCTCAGTGAACCGTTCTTCATTTTTGTTGTTAAACACTCCTGCGTAAAAGAGAAGAGTGTACTGCGTCTAAGGCGCAGGCCCTCCTGAATTTCCGGTTCCGTTTAATACAACAATGAATAACCCCTGTTGCTAGATAAAGGCTATAAAAAACAAAGAAAAAAAACTACTTAACGACATAGGGCCACAGTTAGCAATCGAAAAAGGTTAGCTTCGATTGTCTTCGTGGCGCTAGCGTAGCTATTTTAAGCATCTCTCCTATAATGATAGAAGTGGAACAATGGAACAAGAAATGAAGAAGAACAAAGAGGCATATTTATTACTAGTCCGGAAAATTTTATGACCTATCAAGGAGGTCGTCTACCAGTATTCCGAGTCAACCGTCTCACGGCTAGCTGCTCTTATCATGAGGTATGTAAGTGCATCTCTTCCGATACATTTGTAATATTCTGTTTTATCGATGTTATCGGTGGTCGTATCTAATTAATATACCCTATGTATATGAAGGTATGAATTAGGAAATGAACCTAGACGATATTAGAAAGTCGCCGAGGTTGGTGCACCTTTAATGCATGGACTATTAGAGTCCGTAATACCTTTATCGATTTTTCTATTGCAAGAGATATCGACGACATCAATAACGTACAAGGACTGCTCACGCGGTCAACAAGCGTTGCTTATGTCTACTATATAACAAGCTTGTAAGTACGTAGATCGACGAAGACCGAAAAATGATCGTGTACTACCGAGGTCGACATTAAAAGTTTGTTATTGTTGTTACGGTTGCCAGTGATTCGATAACGATAGGTCGTTGTTATAGGCATTCTTGATTAGGCCAATAACCTTGTCAGTTTACACTGTGCGGTTGTGTAGATCCCCCGCGTATGTGCATGTGTAGATTTCTTTTCAAGCAAACGATGTCTGGCAGGTCAAACTCGTCCTACTCAACAGCACATTGCTTTCTGCCCCTCTGAAAGGTCGTACTCGCGGTCGTCGCAGCGTACGTCTCTGTGGGCGTGTGTGCGTGTAGGGTCAATTTCTATAGTGGACTCCTCCCCACCATTGCCCCCTTGATGGCTCCGAGGTCTTGCCATCTCCGCACTAGCCCCCTTCAGCATCGGTCCCATCGCCACCACACGCAGGTTCAAGCTGCTGTGGTTTACAGTCATGTTCTCTTCAGCGGCAGTCTGTTCGTTCGACCTGGCTGTTCCGTTTTTCTCGGGCTACTGGTTACAATCATGCATATACACATAGACGATACTCGAACTGCCCGTCGTTTATGTCCTAGCACATTAGAAACCTTTCCGCACGATACTCTTTTCACAGTTCTTTCGTTGTATCCATTTAATGATAAGATCCCTTCCACAACTATGGAGTCCACAACGACAGCGACAGCAGCAGCATTAACAGCGGCGGAAGTCGTACGAGTAGCGTGTGGTTCATTTTTTTACTCTCTCTTCCGATCTCATTTTCGGCCTCTTTCCGCCGTTTCTGTTCGGCGCCAGCGGAATCATCTATTCAACTGTTTGCTTTGCTACAAAACACTAAGCATATAATAAGAACCTTTTGCATCAAATTATTTTACGCGGCTGATGTTAGCGCTAGACATTATCCTAGCTAGCGCCCACGGCTGCCCCTCAATTTAGAGAATTATTATTTTTAGCTGTCCGTCAACCGCTGACCGATCAGTCTGTTCACTTCGGTAAAGCGCGCGAGGCCCTGCAGAGGACCGCTATCGCAGTTGTTGTTATCGTCGTCACTTCAGCATTCAGTTGCTGCTATTGCTCTTCATGGTGTTACTATTGCCTACATTGAGGCAGTGTTATGTCCTCCCCAAGTCTGAATCTCACGGGTAGCGTTTTAGCCGCCGCGATGGTCGCTATAATGAGCGAAAATGCCGTCTGGCCTGCGTTCATTGCTGTTGTCGTCGTCGTTGCACGAGTCGTTTCTATCCCTGTTGCATTTATGCGAAGTGTGGCGTATAAGGGGCAAGAGTTTGGGGGCTAACAGGTTCAAAACAGGTTGGTGCTGGTGCAACATGGGACAATGTGCAAGAGTGAATCTTCGGATAAAGAGAGCGTCGCCGCAGACGTAAGCGGCAGTGATACTAATAGTAGAAGTAGCAACCTGTGAGCGACAGAGGGTGAAATAAAAGAATGAGACATATGTTTAGTCTA